ACAGTAAAAAGAAGAAAAAAGAAACCGTATAATTTATTAAAGATAGATTGTGACCTGATTTCATTGCGGTATGTGTCCCCTTAATCTTGGGTACATTGAGAAAACCAGCTGAACATCCAATTATTGCTCCTCCAGGAAAAACTGGATAGGGAATGGACTGAAATTTTACTAACATCAAGTTCAAATATGTTATAACATGCCAAAACAAATTATATCTTTACTATTCATAAAAGGGTTCAACTAGATTATCTATATTCACGATGATATCCAGAAATCTCATTTCCCAGTCAACAAAACAAAAATATGTATATACAAGAAATGGAAAAATTTTCTGCTTTCAGAGTCAAAGCACCAGTTAAATCTAAGGGAGTGAATTTCAACTCACCTGAAAACCACCTTCATTTAGAGTACGAGCTCCATACTGAAGCACAGTACCACCTTCCAAGACGCGTTTAATGGCAGGATGGTGTTTTAGTTTCTATTTGGAAGATAAAATTATATAATTCATCAAACGTCTTTGTTTTGTGAATTGGCTTATTAGAAAGGTATTTGTAGTAACCAGTGAAAAGTCTTATCGTTATGAGAAACTGACATACCTGAAACTCCTCATACGGATTCAAGAAAGGGTTTTTGTAATTCAAGGCAACAACCAAGCCAAGCGCAATCTGTTTGGTTGAAAAGAAATCTGAGCTACCAAAATTGAAAGGTACCAAAGGATCTTCCAAGTGAGAAATGAGTTACCTGTCTATCGTTCATGTGGTACAAGAAGGAACCTCCATATGTCTTGGGATCCAAGGGCCAACCCAATGTGTGAACAACTTCTCCGGGGTTATGCTTGCTTTCGTCTATCTCCCAAACCTGTAGAGCTCAAAGTATCAGAAACTATAAGGACCAATGTTTATACAAAGAAACAAATCTCCAACCCTAATAAAGAATGTATGATCACCTTTTCGATAGAGATGTTACAAACCTCTGAATCATAAGAGGACAAGAGAAGAAACCTATTTAACAAACTACCAAAATATTTGTAGACTCAAACATGCATTCGAGTTACAATTGGATCAAGGATAAGAGCATACCTCCTTAATTCCTAAAGCATATGTCTGATGTTGTGCATTAACCTCTTCTCTTAATTTATACTTTTTGATTATTTTCTGCCCAGAATATAGTACAAAAATGGTTAGCGTCAGCAGCAGATGCATTGTGATAAAATGAATCTTGTGACCGGAACGTTTCTGCTGACCTCAGACAATGATCCTCTGCATCCTTCTGCAAATAGTGTCACTCGTCCTGTGAATTGGACACACATCTTAGTACAAGAGACTCCTATAGAAAGTGAGAGAGAGAGAAAGAGAGAGAGAGAAACAAAGCTACCTTTTATGTCTACGCCTGGTTGGAAATTCTCCTTCTTGGAACCATCTTTGGATATTCCCATATCTCTGGTTGCAATCCCAACAACTTTATCGCTTGCATCGTACAACACCTGATATCAGAACGTTTGCTATGCAAAACATCAAATGGTTTTGAGGATAAAAAACACAAGTAGAAGCGTGAGATGACCTCACTAGCAGAAAAGCCAGGATATATCTCTGTTCCAAGCTCCTCCGCTTTTCCTCCTAGCCAACGCACCAGTTGGCTCAAACTGCATATACAAGCACCACCAAATACTAATCATCTGAAATGAAACTTAAAAATTGACATAAAAAGTGGCAAAAATGTTCATCTACATGTACCTAATAACGTAGTTTCCCTTGTTATCAAACGGAGAAGGAAGTGAAATGGCACGGTCTTTCGTCAGAAACCAGAATTTATCGGAAGAGGCAGGGATCTCAATGGGTGCCTAGAAACAAACAGATCAGGAAACAACAAGGATACGAATAACCTTTCAGTTTGATTTCCAAAAGAAACATTTGATTCCTGCTTAGTTCTTAACACACAGCATATAAGAAATGTATTTGGATTGAAGCAGACAAACCTGTTGTTGCCTCCAATGTGGAAGAAGTTCATCCAGTGCCAGAGGTTCAAAAACATTTCCAGAGATTATGTGTGCTCCTACACATTTGAAAATTCCACATGACAACACCAATATCAATAATCCAAGAGACCAGATAACTGCAAAGATTAGTACTTTGAGTAAGAGATAAAGAGAGAGAACGAAAAACTGACCTACTTCTGCTCCTTTCTCAACGACACACACTGAGAGATCGATGTTATTCTGCTGACACAGTTGTTTCAATCGTATAGCAGCAGATAGACCGGCCGGTCCAGCTCCGACAATCAGAACATCGTACTCTATCGACTCTCTTCCCGCTTCACTGCTGATACATCTACTACTCCAAATTACTCCAAAAGTCGTCGAATTTGAGCATAAGGTTGGCGACTTTCGAAACAAATCGGCGGAACAAGGATACCCAAATCGAGAAATGAATCGATTAGCAGGGATCGAGGGCCTTGGAGGAGACCCAGAGGCGGTAAAAGGATTTGACGTGATTGATGAAGGCAATAGAGGGAGAATGAAACGCTGATTCTTCGAGTGTCTCAACGGATTAGAAGAAAAAGATGAAGAAGAAGAAGAGAGCTTTACAAGGAGCTTATGCATGATCACTGGAAGATGATCGAAAGAGGATTAGGAACAAGAGTGCTCATTCCTTCCTTCATATACTAGCTTCGAAATGAGTCGGCAATGATGTGGCAAACCTTCATTAATCTCTCTTATCTAATCTTCCAAGCATTTTTGTTTTGTTTTTTTTTTTAAATCTATATGCGATAAAGTTTCATTCTAATGAGTAAACCAATAAAATAATTATGGAGTATTTTTCTTCGGTGAATTTCTTCTTCATATGATGTGGTCTCTTCTCCTTTTTTTGCAGGGTGTGATGATCTAATGCATTTCTCCTCTTCCAATCTACAGAAGCTATGTAAATTCTATGGGTTCTGAGTTGGTAGAGTTCCAGTTTGCTTAAAGCTTCTAATTACGTTTGTTGGAATATATTTTGGTTTTTTTTTTTGGTCGTAATTGGAATATATTTTGTTCTCTTGGGTATTATACTAGATCCTAATTATATTTATCTGCAATTTTTCCTTTCTCTCGTCACAATAACAATTGGTTTCCTAGCCGTAGGTGCATTTCTCACACTTGCTTGTAACTTGAAAGTAAAACACACAATGCTTCAGGATTCCCATTTGTCACTTTACACTATAAATATCAACTAGGAAGCTATTGCTCACTTTTGTATAGTTACAGGGGTGGTTTTTCAAAGATCCTAGCTAGAATCACATTTATACTGTATATATGTACTCAAACGATGAGCTGCCTCCTGAGTCCTGAGCAAGATGATACTAGTTTTTACTCTGGCATGAAACGTTCAAGGCCATATATGTTCATCAATGATCCTTCATTTGTATCTTCTCCTCAATTCTACTGGAGTTCCTTTGTCTTTGAGGCCCTTCAGATGTAGCAATTTCATATAATGGTTCAGTAATCTTCTAAGCTCGCTAGGTACAACAAGAAGGCGACTATTTTAATCCTTTATAATTCCTAATTAGGGATTAATCCACGATATAGCGTGGGAGATATATTTTTAATCTTTAATTAATTTAAATAATTTGATGAAAACAGTTATTGTTATAAACTTTACAATAATATAGTGCATATTTTTGTAAATTTTAAATAATGAGTTGATCTATATATATATATATATTTTTTTTTTTTTGAATTATAAAAAATGAGTTAATCCGTATATAAAATTATTTTATAAGCGTGTAAAGCAAAATAAGTTGTTTTAAACCGTTGGTACTAAACTAAAATATTATCTAGGCTATTATATAAAAATTATAATATTATAATCATCAACTCTAATTTGTATCGTTTAATAATTGACATTTCTAATCTGTTCACTAACTATAAAAATTTAATTTTATCTTTTTAACTATATATGAAAATAATATAATATTTTTTACACTTAGGTTTGATATATAATAAATAAATATACAACAATTTATATTTAATTTAAAAATATATATAATTTAGTAGATTGAATATATTACCTATTTTTAAAAATTAATATTTTGATTTTTGAGATTTTTTTATGGGTATTAAAAAATTAAAATTATAATCTGTTCATATCGAACTAACCCGTTTACTTAACATATTTGTATTGGATTAAAATTTAATAATTAATTATAATATTCACCGTTTAATAACTCTCATTTCACCACAAGCTTTTTTTATTTAAAAATCAATTTTTCATATCAAAATTTTAGTAAAATAACTAAAAAAGTATTTTTGTATATAATCAATCAAATGTAGCAAATTATTGAAAAAAAAACAGTTCACCACTTTTTTAATATCATAACTTTTAATTTTGACTTTTATAATATTTCTAAATTCAAAAATTTATTTTCACGTTTTTTAATTAAATATACTTTATAATATCATTTGAAAATAAAAATAATAAAAACTATCATATTTTTGAATTTAGAAATTAAATAATAAATATACTCTATTAAATGAGAAATAAAGACTTTCCATATTTTTAGCAATAGAGTTGAAAGACAACTATATCCTTTCCTATTTTAATTATTCTTTGTTATTTGTAATGGCATATCATGTAATATTTTACAAAATAAAGATTATATTTTAAAATGTCTACTCAAATAATAATATAGAGATTTTTATCCCCACCACTATAATCGTTTTCTTTATATTGGCTTTGTTGATTTTCAATAGTCATTTTGTTTATCCCCTCCTCACATGGATGCTTACGATATGCAAGCCACATAATTAATGGTTACATATGACCATATATAAAATAAGTATAAAGTGTATGAAATTCCATATTTGGTGCAACATAGTCACCAACTACTATCAAACGCAATTTCATAATTAATTATTGTTCAACCGAAATCTCACCCAACTCTCCGTCTCGTACATATATATATAACATACTAGTAACATATGGTACGAGGAACTTGAGCACACTATAGATTGAGATCAATCAATGTCGGAACAAACGTACATGTACGCGTATGTAACTCTGCCTCGCCATGACCAGAGCGAATGGTACTCTCGGAAATGTTATCGAGACGGAAGACGTGTGGTGTTGGCAAACTACGACTTGATGGGATCAAAGAGTTTCAGTTTCAAAGAGAAGCTTAGGAAGTCTGTGAAAGGAATAAACGAGTCAGCCGAGCGGTTGGTTTTGGATGTGAGGCAAGGTACAACCAAAAGACGTTTCGCGATTAGAGTTTTGAGGACAAAACTTGGTTTCTATTCTTGCTTCCTTACTAGTATTAGACGTTTTACTTCTTGCTTTGGGTCATAGGGATTTATAATTTCATCATGTTATTAATCATATCAGAAGTTATTTACCGATCGATATGTTGCTTTACATACATGATACATCCATATATGTAAATACATCACTACTGTATGTATGTGTGTGCTTTCATGAGAGTCTCGTACGTGTGAATACGTCAGTATCACACATTGAGGTTGAACAAACTAGATACTTTATTGCGTGATTTAAGATCAGGATTGTCTTACAATTTCTTGTATGTATAAAGTTTTTTTCTTTTGTGTAAGATTGTATATATACATATAATTAGAATCATGAACGGTGTTGGAAAATTTATACCTAAATTTTGGTATTTCAATGATTGATGCATGCTCACAATATTTACCTAACCACTGAATATTTTCATAAATATAAAATGGCATATATTTTAAAGATTGTTATTAGGAGTACCTTTTAATGGCGTTTACTTTTTAAAAAAACACTATTACCTTTTATATATTAACAAAAATGAAAAATTAAGACAATCAGTATACAGCTATACAGTTTATTGCTAATCAGTATTAAATTCAACATATTTGAATATATATTTGGAATCTATCCTCCTTAGCGAAGAGAAAAAGATCACAAGGAATTACGAGGCACTATATAATTAAAAGTCATTAAGTTAATGTTTAGGAAAACAACAAGTATGAATGAAGACGTTGCAGCAAGCTCCACCAAAATCATTTAAGGTCCGTCGGATATTAATTCTGCCATCAACTTCCGTCGCAGTCATTGCAACTATCATTAGAATTACAACGATTAACACAATCGCAGTTTTCCTTTCAAACGCCATTTTTTGGTTTTACTAATTTTTTTTATCAAACAAAATTTATTGTGCTGACTATGAGTTTAGCTATCAATGTATTTATACGCTAACCCAAGTTTCCAAATATAGTAAAATTCTAATTTAGACAACTTATTCAATGATTCCTGTGGATGCTGTTTAAGTGAATATTATTGCTAATTCTTGTGGATGGTATTTTGAGTGAAGCTTGTGATCTATATTGTAGCTACGTTGATTGATAATACTCATCTTTATATTGAAGCCGGTTGATTTTGTTTTTTCTTGGATTGGATTTCTTATGTCATTGATTTTGTTTATCACCTGATTTTAAAAATAGGTTGAAAATGTAATACCAGATAAAGTTGTTGTTTGTGATCGATGTGAATAAGAGAATCTGTGTAGTTACCTTAGCTACACACATTATCTCTGCCTAAACTTTAAATTATAGGTCATGCATTGCCCCTATCGATAAGCATTTACATAATATTTGCACAATTTACACTATGACTTTCTTATGGAACTGCCCTCTATCATATAATCCTGAAAAAAATGATATGAGTCGACATAATTCCATAAAACTTAATACAATAAGAAAAAACCCAAATTTTAGCAGAAAATTCATATGAAATTATCTAACATTTTGAAAATTATCATTAGACAATAAAGAATGTTTTGTTGTATAAATGAAACTAAACCGGTAGAAACATGCTTGTTGATATCAGCATTCTGATTTACGAATGCTGATGAGTCTGAAATATATGAGTTTGAAGTGGATGAGTCAGAAGTAGATGAGTCTAAAGTGGATGAGTTAGAAATGGATGAGTCTGAAGTGGATGAGTCTGAAGTGGATGAGTCTGAAGTGGATGAGTCTGAAATGGATGATCAAAATTCAAAAATCAAAATCTGATTGGACCGCCATATTTCGAGAAACGCAGAGCAATTCATTCTTTTGATTCATTCTTTTAATTCATTTTTTTGTTCAAGCAGTTTTCTGCAAAAAGCTTCAACTGATTCACTCTTTCAATGTAATTTTCTATCTAAACTACTAATTTCTGTATCTTTGTATATATATGATTTACATGCAAACAAAGAAATCGGGCTATGAACATAGATATAATACATGAATAGCTAAACTTAATAAAAAAAAATTTTACGTCTTAAATTTTTGTAGGGTACAATTAAATGGGTTACCAATATATAATAAGTGATGAATCGTCACAAAGTAACACAAAATTTGCATTTTATAAAATAAACTAGCAAATCTATTGACACGATTAGTTATGATTCAGAATATAAAATAATAAACATTAAATTCGTATGAAGTATGTTTACCGCATAAAAGAAGAACACGTGGTATATTAATAATGTTATTTTGTAAACTAACGTCAATGTTATCTTTGCTATTCAAAACAAAAACTGATTTAGTGTATCAATAAAGTATAAGAGAAAGTTACATTATAAAATAAAAAAACTGTGGAATATGCTATAATGAGTTTTTTGTGAAACGGATGGAACATGATTAAAACGCTAATCATCATTTGACTCGTACTGATCTCACTCGTACTGGGTCAGACGTCGTTTACATATGTGATTAATATTTTGGACCCAAATAATGGGCTTATATTGGGCCGAATAAAGACAATTCAAAAGTCCGTATTTTGTGTGTTGCACTCCAGATAAACAGCGACCATTCCTGTAATTTCACAAAGTGGGTGAATGCTAGGGTTATGCATCTCCCTTACATTGTATATAAAACCACAACTCTCTCTCTCTCCCTCTTTAAATCAGTCGTCTCTTTAATTTTTCCTGAAGATCTGTGAATTGTTTCGATTGTGTTTGGTATGTGAAAAAGGGCTCCATTTTTAACGAGTCAACAGCAGGCGCCACTCTAATGGCGTCCTGACTGCCGCTTGGAGCCCAGATCAAATGCCAGAGGAAGACCCATGAAACTAATTTGATCTCTGTTTTCATGATTCAATACTCTTGGCTACATCTCTTTAGTTTACAAAATTTGAGATTTTTGTTTTCATTTTTTTGGTTTTTTAAGTTTTGATGGCATTAAGTCAGACACGGGTGCTTGTTGGGTTAATAAGAAACAGCAGAGCAACCTTTTGCATGGTGCCTATATCAAATAAGCTTCTCATCACGATTGGAGGCAGTCTTGATCTGATGTCTTCTCATGGCTTCCTCCAAATTTAAAGCAGCTACATTTCTTGGTTTTTTTGTTTCTCATTTTCACATCATTCGGATTTTTTTTTGTTTTCTATGAAATTTTGAAGGACACGCAGAAGGAATGCTTAGATATAAGACAAATGAGATATGATTATCCTTCTTTAACTCTCACGGCATCGATATGATTATGTTAAAAGAAAAAGCTTTTGAGGGGATTAGTGGAAATTGATTTATATATGTTGGTGCCGGAGAGATGAGATGAGATGATCTTCTGACTATAATGGTTGCCGATCAAAAAATGAATCTTTGAGAATTGAAGCATTCATGAGCTTTGGAATCAAAGGCACAATGTCCGAACAAGCCCTCTGTTATCTTGCTGATGCAAACTCAATCTTTCCGTATTGGAGATGAGTTTTCAACCACACGCTGACCAGCTCATGTTCAAGTTTCTGTAGATTCTTCAGAATCAGAATTAGCGAGAATGTTTGGTTCCTACTTCTCACCAATTGTATTTCGTTTTAAGTTGTGACACTAAAAAGCTTTACCTTTTACAATGATTTGACGATTATGTGATACCATTGTTAGTTAATCGTATTAGTAGATGTCTAGTAGATTTGCTCCTTAAGTAAACGTTATTATCTCTCAATCTATCTATCTTTCATTTAATTTAAAAATTTGCAATTCAATTTAAAATATGACAAAGAGTTTCGTTCTTCATACATATGCTTTAGAGAAAAGGAGAAGCAAATTCTGTTTCTATTTGATAGACACTTGTGAGGTTTCTTGTAATTGACCTGTTAAAAAAGGAGATGCAAGCGAGCACAATGCTTCAAAATTTAATTAATTTTGAGAAAAAAGAAATTCAAAACAATCCTCAAAGCAACTTTTGTTTGGCTTGCATTTTTCCTTCCAATTTTCATACATTCGGAACTGGAATAATAAGTTTACTACAGGATTAAAATTTAGGCATATTCGAATAACGATAAACGACCAGTGGTATCACTAAATCTTCCAATAATGCTACAAAGTAGATGGTGCCAACTTCATAGTGTCCAAACTTCTAGTGAGAAGCTGAAGCAACTTTTTCACAACTTTCCGATTCAGAATCATCTTCGGAGAAACTTGGGGGTTTAGGAGTGAGTCCCAACGTCTTGAACATGAGCTGGTCCGCGTCAAAATCATTGTTGGGTGTTGTTAAAAGCTTCTCTCCAGTGAAGATAGAGTTTGCACCGGCAAGGAAACACAGGGCCTGCTCGGCCATTGAGAACCGAACTCTACCAGCAGATAGCCTCACCATTGCTTTTGGCATTACAATTCTTGCTGTTCCAATCATTCTGATCATCTCCCATATCTCAACCGGCTGCAAAAACCATTAAAGGTTTTCAAAACCCTTTTTACCATCAAGCAGCTATCAATCTATGATGTGCATTTTATTGTTTTTAGATTTTGGAGATACCTTCTGGTCTTCAAGAGGAGTGCCTTTCACTGCAAGCAGAGCATTTATGGGAACACTCTCAGGGTGAGAAGGAAGTGTTGCCAGTGTGTGCAATAGGCCTACTCTGTCCTCCTCTGCCTCTCCAAGCCCTATTATTCCTCCTGTTAATCAATAGAAAAAGAAAACAATTGAGAACATGTTAGTTGACCTATCAAATCAATGAATATAAGGGAATTGTGACTCTTAATGACAGGATGAAGACAGGCTTCTGTCCTTTATTTAGCTAGAACTGAGGCATACAAGAATCCGGAAAAACTTGGAATGTCTTTGCTTCATATCGAAATTACCTGAACAGACGTTGATTCCAGCTTCACGAACATGGTCAAGAGTTTCAAGGCGTTCGTCATAACTTCTAGTAGTGATGACGTTTGGGTAGTACTCTCTCGAAGTATCAAGGTTGTGGTTATAAGCAGTGAGGCCAGCCTTCTTTAGCTGTAATGCCTGTTGCTTCTCAATCATGCCCAAGGTGCAGCAAACCTCCATCCCCATGCCTCTGTTGTGCAGTGAGAGCCCAGAAAAAAAATTATAAATATGCTAAAGCCATGAGAGCATATTAAACATCATGTTTATTCTTATCCCGGGTAAACCACATTCACTTTGAAAGGATCACTGAAAGGATCACTGAAAGGATCACTTCCGATATATCACACACACAAGGGTAAAATCCACCTAACTCAAGAAGATTAAAAATTTCAAAACAAATTTTAATGGTAGTTGCAACTTGCAAGTGGGTTTAGTGTTCAGAATCAGAAAGCAAATGCAAAGGGGATAATATGTAGTACAAAAAAAAAGAAATTCAAAATGAAGCCCATCTTAAGAAAAGTATTAAAGTTGTCAGAGATTCAATAATATGGGTACCTTATTTCTTTGATGTAGTCAAGTATCTGGTTGAAATTGGTTTTCCGCCCTATTGTATCTCGCCACGCAGCACCCATGCAGAAACGTGTGCTACCAGCTTCTTTTGCCTAACAACAGATTAAACATGCTACTCAGATCAGAAGACCTCATTACATTCTTAAAATGCTTCATTCAAAACAATCCCAGGATCCTAAATTTTCAGTTGTCGTCATCAATCCTCAAGCTTGAATATTCCTAGATAAAAAGTAGAGCTAGGAAAGATGCATCTCAGACTCTTTTGAACAGAGCTCATACTGAAAAAAATAAACTAACCCACCGATAAAAGCAAAGGCCAATCGTGGGATCAGATGATGAAACTCCAAGCCAACTTAAATATTCCTCATGTATATTACTGATACGAAAGAGAAAAGGAAACAGCTAACCTTCTTTGCTGCATCAATGACAGCGTCCTTGGACATGAGTCTCTGGGCCTTGACTCCAGTGCTATATCTCGAGGACTGAGGACAATATGAACAGTCCTCACTACACCCACCAGTCTTTATGGAGAGGAGAGTACATTGCTGTACTTCCCTGAAGTTATGAACATGTCTATGAACCTGAGCCTGAAACCCACACAATATCATTATCAAGTAATCAAGAGACATTAAAAAGAATAAACAATATATCGGACTACACTAAAAATCTCAGACCAGAGTCCTGGGACTTGAATGAGATTCAAGTTGGGCAAAAAGTTACATACTCAAACAAACATGTTCCGGGTCAAACTAAAACTAAAAATCGATACTTTCCTCCGATTTTACTCTAGTTTTACAGAGACCTAAAGCTTTCAGTGAATTTAGAGAAACTTAGAACAACAAAGGGAGGAATGAATGAGTGAGGGAAATTACTCCATGGAAAAGGAGGTCAAGAACAGGAGACTCAAAGACGGCCTTGATTTCATCTCTACTCCAGTCATTCCTGGGACCTTCCCGGATCGTTCTTTCAGCTTCAGCTGAAGCTGCGGATGAAGAAGAGTAAGAAGAGCAAGATGCAGATTGCCGAGCTGAGACAGAAGGTATCAAATGAGATCGAAATACAAATCGAGCAAGCATCATTTCCGCCTTTGTTCTAACTCAGATGAATGTGAGAGAGAAGAATGAGTGAGATTTGGTGCTATAATCCTCCACTTCACTGATCCATGTGAGTCACCTAACCAAAAGCCACCGTTGGAATTTCCGCCTCTACGAGAGAGATCATTTTCATGGGCCTTTGTTGGGCCGAAAATAATTAATTCACCTAAACGGCAACGTTTTGTCTATCTCTCCTTAAGGTCGTTTCTCTTTCTAGACTAACCGGAGCCGCCGTGAGAGAAGAGGGGGGCAGAAAATGAGCGGCGGAGGAAACAACGTCGTGAACAGAGTCTTTTACGCGACGTCGTATCATCCGATTCAAGCGGGAAGTATCGACGGAACCGACGTTGCGCCACACGATAACGGGGTCCGTCGAGCTCTCCTCTGTTACAACGCCGGTCTATGTAAACTCTCTTTCTGTCCAAATTTATTGCTTTTGTTTCTGAATTGCAAATTTCATTGATTCGAATGTCTTTTGGGTTACGGAAGATGATCCGTCTGGTGATTCGAAAGCCGTCGGAGATCCTTACTGTACTCTCTTCGTGGGTCGACTCTCTCATCTTACTACGGAGGATACTCTTCGAGACGTAAGGGTGTTTCGTTATTATGACTACAAGCTTGGAACTTCACACTTCGTGTTGATTCTACGCGTTACTGTGTGTTTGAGTATGATTGTTAATTCTTTTCAGGCCATGAGTAAGTATGGCAGGATTAAGAGCTTTCGCTTGGTCAGGCACATTGGTAAGCTTTTGCAATTGTTTTGCTTTAGACGCCATTCAGCTTTATCTTTAAGAAATCTATTTTGTTGCTTGCTTCTACCGAATTATTTTCTTAGGAGAAGAATTGTGATGCCATATATTCCTTTAATTCCCACATTCTGTATAGTTCTGCCTGATTATAGATTTGTAGGCCTGTCTGATTCCGTTCTTGTTTCCTTTTCAGTGACAGGTGCTTCACGGGGATATGGTTTTGTGGAGTATGAGACTGAAAAGGAGATGCGCCGTGCTTATGAGGTTCCAAAACTTTCATTTTCTATCTCTTGCTTCTGTCTGAAATCCTTACAATTTTTGTTTCGTTAGCATCTCTACATATATGCTGTTTCCGGAAACCAGTGGAGTTTGATTGTCGGTATGGAATGTTTTACAGGAAGCTCATCATTCCTTTATCGATGATCGGGAGATTATTGTTGATTATAATCGGCAGCAACTGATGCCTGGGTGGATACCAAGAAGATTAGGTTTTGCCGTTCATTTACTCTATACTGTCTAATAATAGGTTCCTCGTTAGATCTTCTTCATCCCTTAGCCTAAGTCCTAATCTTTCTTCTCTCGAAACAGGAGGTGGACTCGGTGGCAGAAAAGAATCTGGACAACTTCGTTTTGGAGGACGAGAAAGACCTTTCCGAGCTCCCTTGTATGGTTTTTGCTTTTGCTCTCCCTTTTAACAGTCGAAGATAGATAGCTCACGGATCTTCTGATTTTCATATTCCTTGATGGAGAGAGATTTAACTTAGGATTCTCTTTTGTTAATATCAGGCGGCCAATCCCCCATGAAGATTTGAAAAAGCTCGGCATTCAACTTCCGCCTGAGGGAAAATATATGTTGCGTACTCAGGTTCTGGTTCATGTCTTTTAACTTTACCACCACTCTACATTTCTTTGAATCTTTCCCCTGTTTCATCTCTGTTGCTATTTTATATTGCGTCTTTTGCTCATGTTCTATTCTGCTAAAATATGCAGATCCCGTCACCTCCTAGGAGAAAAGGAAGTGTGTTGGATAGGGAGGACGGACATTATCAAGAACAGAGGAGCTCTGTAGAAAGGGAAGAAGAGCTTAAAAGGTCTTATCACAGTCACAGGAGGAGCTCACACACACATAGCTCCCATAGAAACCGCATCAAAGACAGAGAGGAGCGTTCCAAGAGAGAGTCTGGGTCTGATAGAAAAGAGAGATCACGAGGGAAGGCAGATCGATATGGTGACAATAAGGAACAAGTTTCTGGTACTAGTAGAAGATCACACGACGACACAGAAAAAGAACGCTCTCACAAACGTCATAAAAAATATTGACTATAAATAGTTTCACGCGATAGCTTAAAATTGTTTCTTCTATGATTCTTCCTATACAGAGGAGTTGTAACCGAATTATTCAAAATGATTACAGATAAAAAAACGCTTTATTATCTTTTCTTGGCCACCGTGTGATTCCTCTCTGGGCCAGTCCGGTTTAAACACTTCCTTTCGCTTTTAGTTCGAGATGTTTTGTTTTTCTTTCTTTTCATTTTTTTGTTTGTTTTGTCTCAACAGTATTGGTCATATCTGGAAATGCTATTGAACCTGTGGCACTAGATGATCTCCTCCCATACTGGAGATAATAACAGGTATCTGTCCAAAGAATTTTTCTTGCATCAACAAGCCAAAAAGCAGTTATTTGTTTGGAAATTAATCATGTCCTTCTCCTTATCATTTCTTGGCCTGTCTAGTTATTTCGATGATCGTACTAAAAGCAAAGCTTTCTTGTTTACCAAGCAATTACACTATTTCCTCCTTTTTGTTCTTTTGTAAAACTTGTAAAGGGGAGCAGCATTCTCCCCCATTCAATAACGGTAACGGTAATGTAATTTCCTCTTTAAGTGTCAGATTAAGATTTCCCCTTTTAATTAACTGTTTGGTTTGATTAAAAATGTGTGTTTCGTTAGATAAAGTTATCTCCATACCAAATCTCTCAGTTCCATAGACTTCTCACATAAGTTATGATCCTGAGGCCTGGGTCTGGATGCTTGAGAAACAATCTGCATCTACCAGATGTCCTGGTTTGATAACCCGGATGATGATGATGGTGTCCTGATTGTGACCGAAGTGGAGCCAAATTCTCGAGGTAAGGAGATATAACAGGCATATCCATGGACAGACAGCGAACCTCACCCGTCTTTGAATAATATTTGAGCAACTTCCTGTCGAGCTCGGTATAGAAGACAAGATCCCCTTGCTTAGAAACCGACACCGGCCAGTAATACAAAATGAACCTCGTTGACTCCGGTAGAGATGCTAAACTTATGGAGTAAATCTTGGTCCATGTTTCCTCCTCTGCATTCATCCTACATATCTCTAGCATACATTCAGGCCCTACTCTCGCTGCTCTGGCTGCCACTAGACGGTCGTCAAGGTTCACAACTTGAGTCACCCGCGTGACCAGCGTATCCGGAACTGAGACGATATGGAACTCTTGCTTGTGAAGATCCAAGGCTAGTATTCTGTAATCCAACGGCCTAATGCTTCTCTCCCTCAAGAATAACCAATACATTGATCCATTCACACACGCCGGTCTTCTTCCCACACTCAAAACATAACGAGGCACCCTCACTTTCTTCCATTCACCGGTTTCAACATCAAGAACATCGCATTCTTCAATCCTAGATCCAACGCATATATTCACTACTTTATAGCTCCCCCTAACTGCGTCTCTACCGAATCCCATGATGCAATTTCCCAGAAAATCTTCATCCGACACTGCTCCACAAAGTTTCGATTTTTTAAAAAAACCCACAAAAACAAAACCAAAAGGAAAGATATATAGTACGTACTGCTTTTGAACAGGGAAGACTCTGTATCTATGCCGGAAGGGAATCGGAGGATTTGTCCGGTCGATGGGTTCAAAACGATGATCCAATCTGGTTCGGGCAAACAGACCAAACCGTTGTAAGCCATCGAGGGTCGTTCTGCATCGCAGTGCAGAAAGGCGATCTCTTGGTCCCCTTCGAACCGCGACTCGGGGAAAAGGCTCGGCCTGTCGCCGCATTTGCAGTTGTTAGCAGCCAGGAGGATTTTCCGGCTCTTTTGAACACTCATACGCCTTACCACGAACTTGTCCGATTCCAGAATCCATCTCCATTGCTTTGAGACGGTTTTGAATGTGAGGATTGATTTCAAGGGCAGTCCAAGGAAAATTCCTTCTAGAAGATCAGGAAATATGTAGATCGGATTATTAGGATTTAATTCCCCATCTTTGGTTGTGTAAGGTTCTGAGAAACTCGCCAACATATAAAGAAAGGATTCGACTTTTCTTCTTTTCCGTTTTTAGGTTACGACGGTGAAAATATCACATTTTTTATTTCGATTGTAAATGTCAAGTACAAAAAAGTTACTAAATATAAACTAGATTTCTTTCTATATTTGTTAATATACATTATTGATTATTAACATCAACTTTTATTTATGCGTTTTTGCTTGATATCGATTGCCGTTTTGCTTCCTCTTTTTTTTTTTTTCTCTTTTCGAAATTAAATGGTTAATCCTTCAAAGCTGAGAGATGGGCTTTATTAAAATGATCGTAACCCAGCCCATTAAAGTTATAAAATCGGCGACTGTTAATTCACCTTTACAAGTCAAAAAGCTTTGTGTTGTGTTGGAACGTGGAACATCTTCACTCAACACATAGAGAAGATTAACAGAATTTGTGTCGATGCCTAAATCAAGCACTTGGGTCTCTATTTTCTTCTTGCCTCTAGCCTTCGTCTTCTACCTCTACAGGTACCCTTATTCTCCAGCCATCGTGGAACATTCATCCAGCTCCATCTACGACATCTCCGTTAAGGTATTATCAGCTTAAACTACGATTTTTAGCAGCTATTTGTTGGTTGACTCGCGGTTATGTTTAGTTCTGATTCGGAAAGAAAAAATCTTTCTACTTGATTGAGTTTTGAATTCTAATCCACTACGAACAAAGACGTGTTTTTTTTTAAGAGGAAAGTAAAGGAAATGATGCTAATTTCTTGAAATCTAGACCAAAGTATTAACTTAACTCTTAACAACTACAGTAGTTACTATTGCATATTTATTTAAGGAAAGTGAATCTTTCAAGGAATCTATTGTTTATGTTCATAGTTAACGAGTTCTGCAAGGTTATTCATATCATAAGTTACATAGTAGTATAAAATTCTCTAATTGAAAATGCAGGACATCGAAGGGAATGATGTGAGTTTGAGCCAGTTCACCGGAAAAGTGCTTCTTATTGTGAATGTGGCCTCTAAGTGGTACGTTACTAAGTATCAAATGATGTTAACTCTAAAAACTTAGTGATTGAAAGTGACCAATACAAGATTTTTCATATTGAATTCTTATAATGGCTAACTTCTTTTATCTGTAATCTTGTTGGTGATGAATGGGCAGTGGTCTAACACATGGAAACTACAAAGAGTTGAACATTTTGTATGCCAAGTACAAAGCTAAGGGTATGTCTCTTACTCTCGCCGTGGCTTTCTTAGGCTATTAACTAATTAAACATATATATAAGCGTTGAGGGAAGCATCATTTCATACAGGGTTTGAGATCTTAGCGTTTCCCTGCAACCAATTTGGCAGTCAAGAACCTGGTAGCAACGAGGAGATTAAGAAAACTGTTTGCACAATGTTCAAAGCCGAATTCCCCGTCTTTGACAAGGTCTCATGAACTACTTAACTGGTCTCAGTTTCTATCACACAGTGGCATATCGTCTTAGTTGTAGTTGATACTTACGTTTTCTCTGTTGCAAGATTGAAGTGAATGGGGAGAATGCTGCTCCCCTTTACAAGTTCTTAAAAGAACAAAAAGGCGGATTATTTGGGGATTCTATCAAGTGGAATTTTGCAAAGTTTCTGGTAGACAAACAAGGAAATGTTGTGGATCGATATGCTCCAACAACATCACCTCTTGAAATAGAGGTTAGTAGAAATTTCCCCCCTGCAAACTGATGTTCATATCTCTAACTAGTAAAGGAACTTACCATGTTGTTTTGTCGTACTTCTTTTTCCCAGAAAGACATAGAGAAGCTATTGGCATCTGCTTGAACATAAAATTTGAAGGTGAGTTTTTGTGCTAGTCCCAAAAGATATATGTACCTCTATCAAATAAAATAATTTTCCCTCTCTGAATCTAATGTATAGGTTGAAAGTAATAGAGATTAGATAAAGTGATGTCTGGAGTCTGGAATGTGAACATATATCTGTAGTTAGAACTTGGAATGCAACTTTTGCCAAACGCTTAGGAGCAGTTAGGTCGTAATAACTCCTCCGAGCTCATAGGTGGGAACATAGAAGCAACAGAATCTTGTGAAATTAGTATTACACTCCTAAGGCCAAGAAACAGCAATATGTTATCTTGAAAACACTCATGGAGATGGCAAGGAATATAATGTGGACCGATTTGGGTGCAGGACAGGAGAGCAGAAGCATCGAACATGTCCGAGATTGAGAATGAGTGCCACTTTTTTTACCTGTGTGTTTATCTAAACCCATCATTCATGCGTGGAAAAGAAAAAAAGCTTGTCTGAATTCTGTGAATGTGATTTTATTAGAGTACCAGTGTGAATCTCATTTTCTTGTAAACAAGTTGTTAATGATCTAATCTTGATCAAGAAAAGAAATAAAGTTTTATTTATTTGCTCTTTTATGAATCTGCATTACAACAAATTTTCCCTTGCAAAATCTTCTTGGTCATTAGCCATTTTGTACAGACCTGAGCAACAAGGCTCTACAACAAATGGTGGGTATTTGAAGCAGGTCAGTCTCAAAAGAGAGATATCACTCCTGCAAATTGGTTGTTCATAGTCTTCTTCTTTCCCACCACCATTGATTCCTCAACTTTTGATTGATCAAATCCAATCTTGTTCCTCCTCAAGAAGCTCTTCTCAACTGCATAATCTCACGGTGCATGCCACAGCTTGTGCCCAGAATTTCAACCTTGCTTTTACATCATCAGGATTATCCCCTGTTTTTTTTCACATATTTCAACCACAATATAATAAGAAAATCTGAAAAAGAAATACAAAAACAAAACTTTGCTGAAATGTTTATAAGAAATAAAAAATCAAAGATTGAGCTTACCAGGACTAGAGATCTTCCAGCTAGCTATAGGGCTAACGGGAGATTCAAGCATCGCCGGCGACTTCTTCTCCGGCGAAGTATGGTGATGATCTTGATCCATAAACTTCTGACTCATCGAGTAACAAAGCTCAAGAGCTGGTAAAGTGTTACAAAGCTCAGGAATCTCCTCGTAATTGAAGCCGAAGCCTAGATCTACACAGCCTTTAAGCTCCTCGAGATCATCGTCCGTTAAACTCTTGGTCCTCTTAAGATCATCACGATCTCCATGATGAACCGCCGAATCTAAAACGTAACCTTCAAGCAACACATTGCTCTTCTTCTTCTCCAGTTTCTTCGTTCCCTTGAACTCACCACTGAAGCCATTGTCGATCTCTTCCTCAGATTCAGTGTACGAGGAGCAAGAGCTTGAGGAGCTCGAGATCTGGGAGTCTGAATCAACGTCTGCCTCGTAGGAGGAACAGCGAGAGAGAAAATCTGAGTCGCACATTGTGAATTTTAATGGAGAAAGTTTTTTTTTGCAGAGGAAAAAAAGGTTAAAAGAGGAGAGAAAGTGAAGAGAGAAAGAAGGTGGAGAGGTGCTTTATAAAGCTACCAACGGGGCGGGTAATTATTTGTTGTCTCTTTCTAAATTATAATCATGTGGTTACTAATCGATGTATGGTATGTATATGATTGTTATATATCATACCATGAATGGATCGATTTGGGCCGGAAAATTGGGCCCCACCATGTGCGCCTAGAATCTAGATCATCGAATCGTCGTCAGAGAGCACATTTTTGGTAAATTATTCCCACCGCTTTTTTAGCCGTAACACATACATAATTTACAATTATGTGTTGTAAAATTTTAATTTGATCTCTAATTTTTGTAGATAGCATCTCATATATTATTATTTGGTGGTTGGTTAAATGAATCAGTATTATGTTTTGAGTTTTACCCGAAAATAATAAATTGGGTTGATTATTTACTTACGGCCGGCATTGTGAAAAAAAGAAAAAATATAATAATCTCTAATATCAATTAAGTAAACTCTGAATAAATGAATTTTCGAAAATTCCCTGCATTGTTTTAACAAGAAACTTCGAAAACAAGCACATAACTCATTGAGTAATTGGACGTCTAAGAGAAAAGAAAGAAACAAAACGAATCGGACATATTGTTACTTCTCCATCGATCAAATTGTTGTTTAGAAGGGAGCTAGATGTAACTTACGTGTGGAGACTACGTACCTTTCATACATCATTAGAAGTTAGTATTATTTTTAAAAATTACTAATTCATTTATCTACAATTTTCACGTGTGAATCCATTTGTTTACGACTCTAGAAGCAGTTTTCCGACTTTCAAACCATAATTTTTTCCTATAAGTTTTAAAAGGTTTGAGTGTTGGTGGATGACATTCACATTTTTCACGCTTTATGGTTAATGTGAAACATTTTTCGGAAAAAATCAAGGTGGTATTTTCATGAGTAATAATATGGAAGTCTAAAGTGTTAAAATGTCGAGAACCTATTGGGCTTAGCCACGAATGTTCAAACCTCAAAAAGAAGACGTGTATAGTGTAACCGGAGTTACTCGGTCCTTATATGTAAAAGTAGAATTAAACCGCGAAATATGCTTGTGAACCCTTGTTACAAATAATAATGCTTATGTATATATCATATTACATGTGTTAGCCGTAGTATTATATAATGCATACAGTTTCATATCTAACTTCTCGCGGCCGCAACAAGAAGTCGTTGCTCCAAACTCGTTAGGTTGCTTCAATTATTTTACTGAAAAGATTATTGTATATTTGTACTCAACAACTAAAGGAAAATATAAATCTTTATTTAATTTAATAGAGAACTGTGTAGGTGAAAGACTAAACCATTAAATAATTTAACTATTACAAATCTAATTATATTCGAATCACCTTCGGCCTGCCGATAAGTCGTTGGCCTCGAGATGCGCCACGTCAGTTTTACATTTCCCTACGACTTAAAAAAAACATTTTTAATACGACAAGTAACTTTAGATTCCACAACAACATTTTGTTTATTTTTATCTTATTTTCTCTAGATGCCAAGCAAATGAAAAGTTTGATTCTTTAGCCTTATTGACAATTGTTAGTGATCTGAAGCAAATCATTGGAATGACTGTTAGGGTCGGTTACCAAAGCGAGACAAAATTATTTGCATCCGTCTATATTCGCTAATTGATGTATATAAGTAAATAAATTACATTAATTGGTTTCTCTTCATTGTAATGTATTCATATCTAATGAATTTGATTTAGCGTTGTTTTAGTGAATTTATTTCTAAAAATCATGTTTGATACTTCACTTTTGAACATATATGTATGTTATTTCTATTTGCAAAAGAAAGAGGAGTCGAAGAGTATGTATCTATTTGAATTATTGTTAGATACTGTGATTATAACGACTTTTCTCATAATATCATGGATTAGTACCTGTGTTTCCTAAACAAATAAAGCAAATCTACGACAAAGTAAAAAAAAAACTTAACAGTTGTTTGGAGATACAGTAATTAATTTTGAATTATATGATTATCAAATCTATATCATCGGCTATCACAAATAGGTATTCATCATTAGCTCCTTTTTGCTAATATAAATGGAAATTAATACTCTCATAACGAAATAAGTTTTTTTTCTTTTTCGAAAACTCCTTGCTGTGAACAGCTAAATATAAGAAAACTAAAATCATAAAGAAGAAAAAATTGTAGAAGCCGAAACAAGATTGCTTCTCGAAATTTCTAATGGAAAAATAAAATATGAAAGAAAACGATCGTGGTCCAGCTTTTGATGAGCTAATTGGCTTCATTGACAAATTAACATGACTTTGGTATATGGTGCGCCGGCGTCAAATGGAGACAAACGTGTCATGTTAATACATGATGACATTCATGTCATGATGATGATCATGGTGATGGTGACATGACATGGTATAGATGTCATACAATTATGTTTCTTCAATGGATGTGGGTTACATAATCAATATAAAAGAAGGAGAAGACGACATGGTCTAGTTTCCCATATTATTGTCCATATAGAACGAAAGGCTCCAAATGATTGTGGTGGTTATGGCGCTGCGAATTACAATGTAAAATAAATGCGAATATTGCTCACTGAAAAAACGATGTTGATTTGGAAATTTTGGATTGGTGGAAAGTAGACACTATTAGTAGTTCATTTAATTTGTAAATCTCGATATATACCAATATATTATTAAAATAGTTAAACTGAACGGGAACTATGTCCACTAATATCTAGTGCATATAACTCAATATCCAAAAGGAGAAGGATCACGAGAGACGAACCAAATAAGTTTTTTCTTTAGTTTATGATAACCATCAAATAAGTTTGTTTGGATCAACAACCATTAATAAGTTTTGTTTGTAAGAAACAAGTGAATAATAATTAACTTTTTTTTGTTTAAACTTTAAAAATAGTTAAATTCAATAATTGTGTGATGGAAACAATTAACAAACGCATGTGGAAGGGTAGGGGGATTATAAATGTGGAAATGCAAGAGAATCACATGTGAACGAAACAAGAAGACAAAAGGCAGGGGAGGAGCCACGTGGACAGTTACGATAAGAAATTAAAGGGCTTAGGGCTTTAAGAGGGGCCCATTTAAACAAAAAAAAAAAAGACAAGAAGAGACCCAACAACTCACGTGTCCCCATTTTCCCTTTTTTCTTCTTCAGCTTAACTAATCAGCACCACATTTCACACCCATTCTCTCTCTCTCTCTGGTCTTCACGACATTCATGTTCGCCTGGGTCTCACTTCCATCATTATCATTTGTCCATTTACCACATACTACTATTCCTTTATCCCTTTTTTGTTTAATTTTTACTTTTTATTTATCACGGGGTTATTGCCTTATTGAAATTATATAAAGAATATAGCTGTGAATTAATGTATTTATTGGCAAAAGTAGTAATTTATAGTAATGGGATTTTTTCGGTAATATGAAAATTTAAGATCAAACCTCAAACTTATTTTTGAGAAGATAATATTTTTCTATGTAAATTAAAAATGGATATAAAACTAATTTTATCCAAAGTCGATTTAGATTATGGACGAAAAAAAAAATTATTTACATCCAACTATCGTCCAGAAAAAATTATTTATATCATATAAACTTTTACTACAAAAGAAATGTAATGGAACCCAATGCAGCAAGATAACCATATCTAAAAGAGGATAGTATCTTTCAGATAAGTACGAAAATAAATTGAACACAGGTTATTAAAGTAATAATAAATCACAATTGAGTAATTGACACAGAAAGTATTAGATTACCAAAAACACGAACCTACATTGTATAGTGACACATAAGACAACCCAAAGGATACGTTATACAATATCCAATCATACAATTTGGTGGGCCTTTTTATGTCCCTAATTTTATTGCCGTGTCCAATCCAATAAATGTTTCTGTTTGATCTCCCTTTGTTTTCCTCAAATCAATTAAAGTCGTGACAAAGACAAATTATTCTCGTGTTAAATTTTTACGTAACAGAAAAAGATAAATAGAACACAGTTCGTAAGACAAGTCCTATGTTTGTGAATCAACAATCATGTATTCAATGCTCTTGTCGACTTTTCTCACATCGTCTTTAATGGCAATCGCACCGTTTTGATCATAGACACATGACACCATAGGGATTTGCAAAATCTCCAGAACATAGACAAAAAAAAAAATATTGGAAACCAAAGTGGACCCTAAATGTGTTTATTTACAAACACACAATTCCTAACACATTACAGTTGCCAACATCACATTCATATCATGCTAAACCGGAACCAAATTCCCCGGTTTAATCTGTGCATTCACAATACACGAGCATGAAACCACTCAAGATTCTTGAGATCGAGATCCCTGCTCGAGTAACCCCTCCATGTTGTTGCTATCGCTGCTACTGCCCCAACCACTGTTATTCCCCCAAGCTCTCTCTTTCCATATCTGTTCAACTTCCGAAAACGTTAGCCCCTGAGTCTCAGGGACAAACACAATCACAAAGATAACCGCAAGAACCGCAATTCCCGCCAAAATCAAGAAAGCCATTCCTGAGCCAGCAGCTTCCGCTATCGACAAGAAAGTTTGTGCCACGACCAAATTGCTGATCCAGTTAACTGTTGCGGACATGCCTCCACATATGCCTCGGTACTGTTGTGGGTATATCTCCGAGTTCACAGTCCATGGGACCGGTCCCATTCCCGGTGCAAAGAAAGCAATGTATAGAGCTAAACCAAGCACAGCGAGCCAACCATAGAGACCCCCATCAGATGATGATGCATCACTTTGTTTGAAGAACGAGACAGAGAGAATTATGAGAGAGATAATGACACCACATAAGCTTGAGAGAGCAAGCTTTCTCCGTCCACAATGATCGATGAAGTATATCCCAACGACTGTTCCAGCAGCGTTCATAGCAGCAATGATGAGAGAAAGTAACAGAGCGAGCTGGTTTGAATGAAATCCAGCCATTTGGACTATCGTTGGGCTGTAATACATAACAGTGTTGATACCAGTGAATTGTTGAAATGCCTGCCAAAAGTTTCCATCTTTATTCAATTCTTTAGTCCTATAAATTCTCAGTCAAAAACTGCAAAATTCGACATTTCCTATTACCTGAAGCCCTGCTCCGGCGAAAAATGCGAGTCTCATTTCTTTGGATTTAAAAACATCCAAGTAGCTAACAGCGTTTTTCCTTAGCTTTTCTTCCTCTTCAGCAGCAGAAAGATGATCAATCTCGTCCTCTAACCGAGAGATGTCATAGATTCTCACAAGCACTTGAAAGGCTTCAGATTTACGATTCTTCATGAAAAGCCATCGAGGGGATTCAGGCATGAAAATCATTAGGCCAAACTGAACAACAGCAGGAACACCTGAAACCCCAAGCATCCATCTCCATGTTCCTGGAACCTGCCAATACTAATCTCATGAATTCACAAGCTACCAATAAAATGCCAAGAGTTTCAATATCTCTCTATAGTTTCTTAGACATGAAAAAAAACTGGTCTGAGTTTTTTTTTTCTTTTCCAAGTACCAAGCTACACTAGCAAAAAATCTATACCAACCTTACAATTTCATATGATCGATTTCACTTGGTTTTATTTTTTACAGAATAACTCAGTCTTCTATTCAAAAACTGAATTAATGTAAAGGAAGGACCACCAAATAGGGACCTTTAATGGAACTCAGGATAGACTTATTGTTTCGTCATGCTGAAAGGACAGATAAGCTGCCTTAGCTGGGACATGAATAACTGCAGCATAGTAAAGTATGTGCAATAGAAATCAACCAAAATCAAGGTCACAAAGATCATCTAATATGAAGTAAATGATACGGCACTCACAATGTGACTGTAGCATGATTTGAAAATATCAAGACACAGATTTCTCCAAAGTTCAAGACTTTATTGTGGTGAGGAAAGATATGAGTGACTAACTAACCTGTGTGAAAGCAGCATTAACGAGGTATGAAAGAAACTGTCCACCAGTTATCATCAATACATTGGTGCTCACAAGTCCACCTCTCACTTCCGATGGAGATGCTTCCGCTATATAAACCGGTGCAGTCACAGAAGCTACACCAACTCCTAAACCAACCAATAGACGACCCGATATTAAGACATACGGATCGGGCGCAGCAGCCATAACGATTGCTCCAGCTGCAAACACAACATCAGCAAACATAGTCGCCTTTTTACGTCCGTAGTAGTCATTGATCCAACCTCCTGATGCAGCACCGATTATAGCACCAACGATTGCCATACTTACAATAGTTTCCTACAAAGAACACATTCTTCGTGAATCACTACTAATACTGAAAGTTACCAGCTTGGAACAGACAAAGCAAGAAAGCATATATACCTGTAAGAAACTGCTCTGCTTAACGACTTCGAAATCATCCTTAATGTACAAAAGGGCACCGGAAATTACACCTGTAAAAGCAACACATTTTCAATGAGATAAAATTAAAACACAAACTAACTCAAACCCACCAAAACAATTTTCAGAATTTTGATAACATTAGAGATCCAATGAGGCTAGTGATGCAGATTGAAAGACTCCAGTTTCAGTTCAATTTGCAGAATTTCTACGAAGGGGCCAGTGAAGAAATCAAATCCAATGCCTAAAACATCAAAATTCGTGAGTATTTCAGAGTTGGGTAATAAGAGAGAGACCTGTGTCATAACCGAAGAGAAGACCACCGATTCCGGCAGTGACAGTCAAACCCAGAATGTAAGAATTCCCAAAATACGACATCCTTCTCTCCGGGAACATATCCAAGTACCCGGAGCTCCCTGGTGCGCTTGGTATCGTCAATGTCATCTTCTTAGTTTACTCTTCTCGCTACCGGTTTGACTTCGATCAGCTAAGAGCAACGCACTTTAAAACGGAAGATTCTCCGGAATTTCAACGAGAAGAGAGAAGCGAATACTAAACCCCCGAATAAACAAATTGCGATTGGTTAAAATTCCGAGACTCGAGGAGAAAGTTTGGAAATCTGAAGGAATTTGTTTTCTCAAATTTCTGCCTGATGCTCAAAATTCTACCGAGAAAATTCCAATAATGGATTATCCTTCAGAATCTGGATATTTTCAAACTGGGATACTGAGCGCAGAGGATTTGGATTAAGAATCGCCGAGGTAAATGTGGCAGCACAAACGAAGCCGTGAAGAAGAAAAAATGAAACATTTTTAAAGACGTGAATCATAAAACCTGGTTGCCTCTATTTTTTCCTCTAAAACAGAGGTGCATTTGTTTGGTTACCTCTATTTTTCCCTTTAAAAAAGAATATTCTTATTATATTCTTTTTGTTGTTTGTTCTTAACACCTTTTATAAATAAAATTTATGAATTGACCCCACTTATTTTTTTTATAAAAACTTAAATAACTTATAATAATACTAACTTTGATAAATAAAGTTTGTGAATTAATCTTTTATTTTACTTTTTATAAAAGTTTTTATAAATTATAGTAATAGTAACCTTTGACTACTAAAAATTTTAAATTAATCTCACTCACTTATGTTACCTTTTTATAAAAGTTTCAACATATTATAATAATACTAGAAATTAAAATTCATAAATTAAAAAAAAATTGCTGTTATTTTTCGTTTATTTTTATGTAATTTTATTTTGCAATTAATTTTTATATTTTAATTTCAATGAGAATTTTTATATTTAATAATATCATATATTTTTTTTTAACTATAACCAAAATTATCACATTTATATTCATAAAAAATTATATTTTTTGTATAAATAGAAAGATTTAAAAGTTAAAGGACTACTTTATAAATAAAAAAGTTCAGCTCTATTATAGAGGAAAAAAATAGAATCCCTCTATATTTGAAGGAAAAAATAGCAATCTCTATTTTAAAGGTGAAAATAGAGGTGGGTTGGAGCATAATCTCTATTTTCACCTTTAATATAGATGTGGGTTGGAGATGCCCTAAAAGAAAGGAAACAGAGAGGATTATCTTGGAGTTACAGGGCGGTGACTGACAGACAATAATATTTTTTTTTATCAACGTGGCGAGTTTCTCTGGATAAGGTTGTCTTATTATTACCAACTAACGAATCAATAATACACACTCGCGCGGTTCTGTAATAATACGCTTTCTCAACCTCTCTTTGTTAAGAAGTCGCACTTGTGGTGGAAGTCACGCGCGTATCTACACGTGTAAGAAGGTTAGCTGATAAGTGATAACTAGTGGCTCTTGTTTTGTGTGCGTGCGTAGGCGAGTGTAACCACGCTCTCCTCGAACCATCTTATCTACAACGACCGTTTAGGATAAAACGGTTTAAAACGTGTAACCCTCGATTACAAGAGTTTGTTGGCCCATGCAGTAAAGGGCTTTTATGGCCCATTATTTGTGTTTAAAATGTTCATAGAGAGACCAATTTCTGAAGTCAGACAACGACCAGAAGAGGAACAAAAGAAAATGGTCAGTTTCTGATTTGCAAAGAATAAAAGGGACTAGAATTGTAAATAGCCTGGACAGATATACAAAAGCGGACCAGCGGGTCTGAACAGAAGCTTCGATTAGTTGGCCAAACTCCCTCTTTCCTTTTTAGATTTAAAAAAATAATTTATTTTTATTTTATTTTTTACTTTAAACGTGTGAGAGATCTCTTTGCTCTGAAATTTCAACCTTGCCGCTGTTGATACCTAGATTTTCGCCGTGTTTGAGAGGAATCTCATCTTTTTTCGTCTGAATCGAATTTCGTGTTTATAACTCCTCCACTGATCGCTTTGTATTGCTTAAGTTATTGCCTCAATAAGCAAATAATCTGTAAGTCATCTTCAGTTTCTTTGTTGTCTGTTTCTTGATGCTCCACTGATCCTGTAATCGGTTGTTTAGAAATGAAATTAAAATTCAACTTTTGACTTCATTTTGAAAATTGTGGCTGCAAGAACTCGTGCCCATTGATGGTTTCTGGTTTTGATTTTGATCCTTGTTGGTCGTGTTTCAATGGTAGGGGCTTGTAATTGAAGAGATTTGCGTAGATCTCGCAATTGGGCTAGTATTGAATCTGTAAAGTTCTAATTTTGACTTTTGTTTGTCCTCCGCTTCGCTCTGCTAATTTTTATATAGTTTGTCATTAAGTTTATCGTTGTATATGTTCAAAATTGCTATCCGATTCATGTCTTTATCACGTGAATCATGTGATTGCATCGGCGTTAGGTGAAATCATGATGTCTAAGGGTTTGAGTTAAAGACGTCAAGAGTGACAATCGCATTGCTAAAGTTTATATCTTTTTGGATAGTTTGTAGATTGTTACCATTGGATCACTATTGAGGGAGGACTCTTGAAGATAAAGAATGCGTGCACCATCTTTGCTTGCGCAATGCTTGCCCGGTTTGCTGCCTCAGGACCGTGGCGGTGTGGCTGCACTATCAGACAAGGATTTGCAGCTTCCCACACCAGCTGTTGAGATCATACCTTCTAAGGTTGTTTGCTCATTTGTCGGTTTCATAATCATAACTTCTTTTTTTTCTGAAAAGTACAGTTTTTTTACGACTTTAATTTTCCAGGGCATCTTTGGGCTCGCCTTTGTATTATACCTTCTGCTGAAAAAAAATTAAGTTGGAGAAAAAAAATGAAGGGTGGCCTTCATTTTGTGAATGAAATAGACTTATTTATCATTTGAATACATCCAAAAGGATGCAATTCTAATTCTTTTTTTTTCGTTTACTTTCTTCTGTAGACAGCAGCTCATCACAGGTATTCAGGGGAGAACGTAGATATGCTCGGTTTACAAGTTTTCAAGGTACTGAAAATGTGGTTTATTAGGATACTGAAACATCTCTAAAATTTAAGGCAGTAGAAAACACTGATTTGTGCAATCTTGGCTTTTGAGAGCCACTTAAGAAACTTTGCTTGTCAATCCTTTTTTCAAGATTTAACCTAAAGAAGTGATTGCTGGAAGGACCATTGACGCGGTAGGATGATATTCTAATGATGGATTTCTGAGTAAATAACGAGATATAGTAAACTTTTCTTGGCTAAAATGTGAAACAGAAAGTAACCAGACTGTTTTTCTTTGAGAACCTTGTAAGTATGTCTGATATAGGTTAGAATCAAGAAGTGCACGATTTGCTTGATCTTGATATATTATCATTGAAAAGTAAAAGTTAATCTTTTTTTTTGTGATTGAATAGCCTCCATGCTTATGCGCTTGTTTTGTCGCTTTTGTGGTGAATCTTATGTTTTGTTTCATTACTCAGAAAGACCATGACACACTTCTATGAACATAAAACTCCGGACAGGATTAAGAATGTATAGAGAATTCTAAATCTTTGCATTGAAACCATCAATCTCGTGCAGGGAAAAGTAAGTGTTGCTGATTTTATCGGGCTCTCTGGTTCAGAAACTGCTCCTCTAAAATATGAAGGTATGTGCTTCACATGCACTTTCACCTGATGGTTTTCCTCACTTTATGTATTATAAGTAACTGTATCAAGTAATAATTAAAAAAAAAAACATTGTGTAGGTTCTCTGAAAAGCTGGGAAAGCGCTATCGTTCTTGTTGATGTCCTTAAAAACGAGATCCGCGATGGACAGCTTAGCTTCAGGGGCAAAAGGGTCCTCGAGGTACTTCCTCCTAAATTTCACCCTTTGTTTAGTAAAGCAATACTAATCTCCCTGAATCTTCCTTTATCTGAATTTGTACTATGGTGAAGATACCATAGATGTTCTGCATTTTGAGAACAAGCCTACCAATTCCTTGTGTTCTGACTTGCACCTTTTCTTTTTCCTTTGTCTGGCGACTTGAGCAGCTAGGATGCAATTACGGAGTTCCTGGGATATTTGCCTGCTTGAAAGTAAGTAAACCGATACTGCAAGATAGCTGGTACTGTCACGCTTCTCATAATCTAATCTTCTTTTTCTTTTTTTGAAAGGGTGCTTCGTCAGTCCACTTTCAAGACCTAAGCGCAGAAACAATAAGATGCACAACCATCCCAAATGTACTTGCAAACCTCGACCAAGCTCGGGAGAGGCAAAGCCGTCAGCCAGAAAGCCCGCACACACCATCAAGACAAGCCGTCTCTGCATCTGTCCGTTTCTATGCAGGAGAATGGGAAGAGCTCCCGACCGTTCTTTCCATCATAAGAACCGATGTCCTTGAACCAGCTAACCCTGGAATGAGCTTGAGTTTCTCAGAGGAAGATTTCATGGACGGATGTAGCAGCCAAGACGGAAGCATTACAGGGCAACAGGAATTCTCCTCGAGGCGATCAAGGAAGCTCTCGGTAAGCAGAGCGTGGGAAAGAGCTAACGAGACTGATCAAGGAGGAGAATGTGGGTATGATGTTATGCTAATGACTGAAATCCCTTACTCGATAACTTCTCTGAAGAAACTATATTCTCTCATTAAGAAGGTTGGTTTTTGATCCTACTCTCTCTAGTTCTTTGACTTGGTGGTTGTTTCCATGTCATAGTGATGGTTATGTTGGTGGTTTTTGTGTGGAAACAGTGCCTGAGACCACCTTACGGTGTGGTGTATTTGGCGGCAAAGAAGCAGTATGTGGGATTCAACAGTGGAGCGAGACATTTGAGGAACTTGGTCGATGAGGAAACTATCTTAGGAGCTCATCTGATTAAGGAAACTACGGACAGAGATATTTGGAAGTTCTTCCTCAAGTAGGTGTAGAAGAAATCGCTCATGACCAAATATTCTGCAGCTGCATCAGTTGCAAAGAATTCATATACAAAACACTTTTTCTTATTGTATAATGTAATGCAATATCATTGAAGTTATCATCATCATGTCTTCTTTTTTGTTATCTTGGTGGTTCCTTCATTTTATTTTTGGTTTAACTGTGGAGCCTAAGTTAGATAAAAGTTGGCCAGTAATTTTACTCGACTCTTCTATCTGTTTGAGTAACTGGAATTCATTTGTATATAGAAGTGAACATTGATACTAGCAAATCTTAAAAAGAACTCCTTTTCCATTTTTCCATGAAACATCTTATATATCCAGAGAAGTTTTTTTTTTTGGTTACAGAAGCAAAAATGATGATGGAAGAACTAGTTCTAAACTTTCGAATTGCATAAAAAACGAGAAACGTATGAATGAAATCGAAATGTCATGTCGAAAAGAATCAAATCTGTTCCTGTAAAGCTCTCACTCAATACAAGAAGAAACTGTACGGACAAAAAATGATCCCCCAAATTCGAAAAAACCTAATTTCTGGGGATGATTGGGCCGATATCGTGCAACTGCTCAGTCCCGTCGACTCTGATTCCGGTGCGACGGACGGAATCAAACAGCGGAAGAACCCTTTTACGGTGGTGAATGGGTCGTGAGATCTCTTCGTCGGCATCAATGGAGACAGTTTCGACGCCAAGCTCCCTGAGGCGAAGGCCAAGCTTCTCGCCGACGCGTGAAGCGGTCTTCGAGTCCCAGAAATTGTTGGAACGAGGGAATCGGTAGAGATTGGCGCGGCTCTGGGCTAGGAATTCCTGCTCGGAGGAAGAAGCCATGGCTACGATTGTGGAGGTTCCTGGCTGAGTCACTTGCGCCGTGATCTTACGGCACGATAAGACTAGCTGGAGGAGATGGTGACGTTGAATCCCATTCATCGCTTTTCTCGACCGATCGATTGATTGATTGATTCCCAAAGATCTCTCCTTGTTGCTCACGGAGGAAGAGAGATTGGGAGAGATTTGTTTTGCTTCTTTAAACGAGAAAGAAAAAAAATATGTATTTATTGTTTTACTTCCTTTCCAAGCTCATCTTTTTTTCACCTTTTCATCTTCATTATTTCACGACTAGAAAATAAAAATCATATCTTTATATTTCAATTGAACATCGGAGCCTAGATTTTGGTCGGAAAGATTCCTTTTTTCATCTATTGTAGATTCAAATTGTTCCTAGTACCTCTGCCTGTCCTTGGATTCGCATTTCTATCGAGAATATCTGAAATTTAGATTCAAAACTTGTCGGGAATGAATCTCGCTCTTTCTTCTATGGAATATGTAATTAACAAGGAAAAATGAGAGGACTCGAAGAGTTTTTGTTGCAGGCTATGTCTGTGAAGCTCTGTCAATGAAAAAACTTGAAGCTTTATATATAGTATTCTCATCAGTCTTTTGCGGTTTCACTTTGCAGTGGATGGAAGATCCGACAAAACACCCTTCACTGTCTTCAATCATTTGTAGCCTGAAAATCAACCAGGTAGAATGTGTTATTAGCATTTATGTCAATGTCTTACTCTCATTTGCAGTTATAGTTGAACATTGCATATTGATCAAATTAACACTTCTTCAGTTGATATACAAAAAATGTAAAACCCAAACTTCTCATCTGGTGCTTCAGCATCAGTCCTAGTGAGTAGTGACCTACTAAATGAGGATTTATGTTAATTATTATCATCATTTGGTGGAAATTGTGAAGCAAAGGCCCGTATAGCTCAGTGGTAGAGCGTCAGTCTTGTAAACTGAAGGTCCGTAGTTCGATCCTGCGTGTGGGCACTTTTTGACCACTTTATTCACTAATTTTATTTATTTATCAGTAAGTGTAAAAATTCTCATATCTGCTACTACCGAGTTTCTCGATCAATGGCTTGATCATTCTTGTCTCTTGCGGATCGATTGAATAGCTAGTATTTTTCACAATCGGACATTAATCGACTTCTTTGATAATCCACAACATGTATGTTCAATAACATTCGACTCTGCAGCAGCTGTTATCTCCATTACTCATCAAACAAATTGTATTGCAATTCTCCAACTTCTTTTTCCACTATCTTCGCCAGAGAAGGCAACCTTTTCGTTTTGGTTTATTCTTTTACATTCCCTCTAGCAAGCATCCATAGAGCATCAGTCTTCAGGGAAATTGACATTAATTAAGCTAGCTTCTGTTTCACTTCTCGATTATCATTATCATGTGCTTCTTGAAATTCCCCTTTCAACTTCCACTACCACCAATGTCACGACGTTAAATATTCGACTTAGACCCTCTTATACGGCTTACAACACTTATAACTCGGTCGGAAGCTGTGTCCCAATAAATTGTGGATTTTTTTAAAAAAAATGTTAAACGCGGAAATAGATTTATCTAAAAGTTCCTTCTTTTATAATCTTCTGTGGATGCATCTTCGAGCTTGAAAATTGATATGGACTACAAGTTAATGTTCCCAAATAAGCAAAAAACAAAACATAAGCAGAAGATATGTAATATCATTGGTAAAGTCAAATTAATCATAAGAGCGGGCATATGCCTTCTCTCTAGCTTCCTGAATGTATGTCCATTATTTGATGCTCGAAGCTAATTAATTACTACTAATTGTCTGCTTACCTTAATAAAAATATTGTTTTGACATTTTTGTGTGTTATCACATCTTCTTGGCATACTATAAGCGAGCCTGTAAGCGAGTAAGCGTTATATATTGCTATGCTAAAAAGGTGAAACAGTTTGGAGATCTCTTTAATTTTGACTTTAGAGGTTATCGGGAATTCTCTCTTTTTTTTCTCCAGCCGTGGACTACGTACTGATTTCGACAATAAATGAAAGCTATAGGGAACACGTTTTTTTTTTTTTTTTTTTTATCTTGATGTACTTTCGAATCAAAAGATGTCACAGATCAATTTATTATAAACGTTAGGAACTTAGGATCAATTTTAGAGACGAAGTATAATGCGTATACAAAACAAAGCATTATTATCTTTCTTTTTTTGAACTTTTCATTAAAAACACATCATAGTGGTGGTATAAAGGTATGAAATTACGTGGGATGAATAGAAAAATGGAACAAGAGTGGAGTCGCCACTACCGAGAATCATTGCAACTAGCATTTAAAAACGACGAAATCAAAGAAGAAGAAGAAAAAAATCCTAAAATAAACCTCTGGTTTATTAAAATAGAAAAAAAAAGGAGGGGGGAGGGAAGTAGGAATCCTTTTTCTTAAAACATGAAATGAAGTGAAATATTGTAATAAGAAAAGACAGTAACAGATAATGACCTCCAATTATTGTAAGTATGAATTATGAGTGGAGCTGGCTTGGGTGAGCTGGAAGACAACCACGAAGTCCATAACACTTCTCACAAGTCAAATGTTCTTGGATCCCGTTACACTACACCCCGTGAGAGTCTACTACATTACATTTTTCTATAACTATATATAAATAAATTTTACACAAAAACTGAATTTTTATGTTATGCTCTACGCCCTGCTAATTCTTACTATATTTTTTTTTTGTTGATGAAATGTTAAATCTATTTTTTTGTTTATTTTTATTGTTTGAGAGAAACAAATCGTAGGGTCAACTTAACTTACTAATCGTAGTGTGGTGTACACTAAACCCCGACCGTGAGAATCTATATTACATTTGTCTGTAACTATATACATTGTAAACAAAACTGAATTTTAAGTTTATGCTCTACGCCTCTATTAATTCTTACATTATGTTTGTTGAAATGTTAATTTTTATTTATTTTCTTATTACTTGTTGAGACAAAAATATAGGGTCAACATAACTTACAATCGTGATTATTATGCGACAGTCCAAATATACATGATAACCTAAGCGCACAAACCTCTATAAGATATATGTCAAAACAAATGAAAAATGTTCGAGTAGACAGTGGGTAAAAGAAATGAGAGATATCCAATTTCATAAACTGTTTATAAACGTGACTAGATTCGGCGATCTTCACCTCATTAATCTAAAAGTGGTGTGTAAAGGACTTATACTTTGGTTGAATTAATCACTGTAGGAGCTATATATAGTATTTCGTGTCATGTAATTCAGGTTTGGTTTATAAATAATTCTATAACTTTATGCAGTTACCAATGTAGTAAAAAGACTTTCGCCTCAAGCCCCCAAAATATGTTAATTTTTCAGAGCCCATATTTTCTCAAGAGGTGGTTAAGTGGTTTATGGTTGGCATAAAGTCTTTTTTTACATAAGATGTTTTCTTATTTTTGTTTATAAGAGAGAAAAAAAGGAATAGATATAGGAAAGAGATTAAGATTACATTCTCCCAATAGTTTTAGGAAATTGATTAAGATTTGATTAGATTATCGGCTTTATAACATCCTAAAATAAGACCAAAACCTAAAGCCCAAGAGAAAAAAAAAATTCATAGATTGCTTATCAGATATTGCTGACAATTCCAGTTTCAGTTGCCTTGGCTGAAAGAAGTTTTTCAAAGTTGAAGTTGATAAAGTCTTAGTTGCGATCAACTATGTCAAAAGAAAGATTGAATGGTCTATCTATCATATCTATAGAAAGAAAACTAGTTAAAGACCTCGATTATGAGAGTTTGGTGAAAAAGTTTATTGAAAAAGAAGGAAGAAAAATTATGTCTTAATTAGTTTTTTTAGATTAAAATTTTATTTTTGAATATTTTATATGATTTTAAAATTATATTATATTTTTTTGTTAGAAAACCTTTTTTTAAATGAAAAAGACCATATTTTTTTAGTTTGCCTTCAGTCCCTATAAACATTCACACGGCACTAACTTTATGTTAGCCATTGGCTTAAATTGAAATTTAGTGTTTATCCGTTTCACCTTGTTAGTATTGGCCATGCTAGTTGTACTATTTGGTAGAGTTCTAGTTTTACATAAGCTCCATTTTGATCGAAAATCTAATGAACATTTCTATAGATGATTTCATCCCAACGCCAATGACTCATTTATTCGATGATTTACTTTCCAACGTATACTCTACTAATTTTTTAAAATTAAACTATAGTAGCTCTTCTTTTTTTTTTCAGAAAAAGTTGATCAGTTCCTATCGTTTAATTTGACATCAAAGTGATAATCTATGATGGTTGTTGAGCAAGTGGGTCCACGTGGAAGAAGTAAACCAACGGAATGGCGACAACCTTCGGGAGGTGAGGAGATCCAACGGTCATAATATAACGGGCGTCATTCTTGGCGCGTTTTTTGGTCCCCATTGTCTTCCTTTAATTCTGAGACCCGTTACGTTGTTGTTGTTTTTTATTTTTTGACATCAAAGACCCGTTTATATTTTTATCATTAAAAGTAAAAGACACTTGTTTTACTGATTCTAGAAAGTTTACGTCAATTCTATTGGCTTCGAGTTCATACAAAAACATTGTGTTTATTTGAATTAGACAAAACTGTCGGACAAAGAAAAAATATACTTACGTGGAGATTGCAGATATTCAAATACTTAATCGTCAATTTTGATAAAACCTAAATCCAAAAATAAATCACTATTATTCAATAGTTGGTTTAGAATGACACACATCATATGCTTTACATTTAAGAGATTTTAAAAATTTTAAATTTATATTTTACTCATAAGATAAAAAAAAAGAGATGATATAGAAGTTTACAATATAATGAAGACCGGCGCATTGATTAGATAAAATAACCAAACAAATGCCAAATGGGGACAGGAACCAAACATCAACAATTATAACAACGCGTTTTTGACATTACTTCCTTTTTAATTCAACCAGCAAAAAGAAAAAAAGCGATGTATCTGTTTAACTACACCCCTACCTTCTTCACGCGTTTTCTGCCATTTCTTTACTTCTCTTTATATTAAGAGATTACTTTTTTTTACTAAATCAATATCTTCTTCATTTATAAAAATATGTATTTAGCATTCGTTTATCATGGTTCATGACTTCATGTACACTTAATAGATTCTGTAAATCGCGGCTTTATCTACTTTTAGCATTTTTAACTTGTATCAGCCTTACATTAACAACAAAAAAGCAACTATTATTAGCCTATTAGATGATCATTCGTTATGCGACTTTTAAAAGTTTAACCAAAATATATATATATATATATCAAATTTAGCTATATATCATTAGTGAAAATGATTTATCAAATCTTTAAACTTCTTTGTAATAATTTTCAAACTTCAAAAGTGATAGTAATGTTTTATGTAGTGTAAAGATGTTATTTAGATGATACGATTTTTCGTCAAATTTTATATTTAATTTAATTTCAAAGCGTGACTAATAAAGAATACATAGGAGTCTCTAAAGTTTCAAATATTTTCCAAAATATGTTTTCAAAGATTGTTCAGACTAATTCCTCACTCGCTTTGTTTATTTCACTAATCTTTCTTTCCACTTGGTGGAATAGTCCTCAATTATATTGAAGAAGAAGAAGGTAAAAAGCGAAAGCAAATTAAAGGAGTAACGTATATGTTGATCAAATTACTGTAGATTCAACGGTTATATAGGGATGAAAAACGAACAAAAATTTTCCCGATAATATATTATTTAATGTGTCTGAAAAAGATATTATTTGGTTATATAATAAGTAAATGAAACACACACACACACACTCTCTCTCTCCCCTCTATAAAGACCAACAATTTCCAAGTTTTTCTCTATCACCAAATCTCTGTTTTCAAGCTCTCTGTTTTCATCAGATTTCGGAAAATAAGAGTTTTGATTCGGCAGTTATGGTGAGAATTTTCCTTCTCTACAATCTATTAAACTCGTTTCTTCTCTCTTTAGTACCAAAGAAGCTACGAAGTCTCTTCCCTCTCTCTTGGTTCGACAAAACTCTCCACAAGACCTCACCGTCGTCGATGTTACCCTCTCCGTCACCGTCGTCTGCGCCGACGAAAAGAACAGATCCGTCCGAGCTCAAACGGGTTTTCCAGATGTTCGACAAGAACGGCGACGGTCGAATCACTAAAGAAGAGCTCAACGACTCACTCGAGAATCTAGGAATCTACATACCTGACAAAGATCTGACTCAGATGATCCACAAGATCGACGCCAACGGCGATGGATGCGTAGATATAGACGAGTTCGAGTCGCTGTACAGCTCGATAGTGGATGAGCATCACAACGATGGAGAAACAGAGGAAGAGGACATGAAAGACGCGTTTAACGTGTTTGACCAGGACGGAGATGGGTTTATCACCGTAGAGGAGTTGAAATCGGTGATGGCTTCCTTGGGACTCAAGCAAGGGAAAACCCTAGATGGTTGCAAGAAGATGATTATGCAAGTGGATGCTGATGGTGATGGTAGAGTCAATTACAAAGAGTTCCTTCAGATGATGAAAGGTGGTGGCTTTAGTAGCAGTAATTGATCTTTGATTAGGGTTTGATTTGACAGGAGCTTAAGAGTGTGTTTATTCCATTGATTGGTTTGTTTTCTTGTTTTTCCCCTGTGAATAATCTTCTTATGATGAGTCAAAACATCGCAATCAAGGTGTGTAATCTTGTTTTTTAGGGTTTCTCTGGGCTTATGTAAGATTCACCTTCTCATTTTATCTTGTTTAGTGTTCTTTAGTAGATTGTTAAACTTAAACATTTCTTATCAAGATACTATAGGTCCATATGTAATGTGTTAATGTGTGTGTGTGAGTATATTAGCTTCGCTTCACCAAGGAAATTGCAGGACCAACTAAACTCTGTATCCGTAATGCAAGAGTTAAATTCATGTCCTGAAACCTGATTTGTATTCATGTTCTCTTCTAATCTATGGTTACAAAGTTTCTCCCATTACATTCCATAAACTACAAGATTCAGTCACATCTACATTACACTAGATCCATTTGAGATCGGGAAAGGCAGTAAAGAATGTACAGCAGCACACATTTATAGATGGCTTAGAGGGCATCTTGTTTACTTCGCAGTAGCTCGAGCTCTATAGGTTCGAATTCCTTCAAACTGTTCACCACACTCTCCACTTTCTTTGCTATCCGATTACTATGTTCTTCAACAATCTTTGTGAACGCATCTAGCTGTTCCTTGTACGCTGCACATAACCGCTTCTTGTTTCGTAGCTCTATCGTCAGTTCTTGAATTCTCTTGTCCTTGTCGTCCTAGAACAACGAAATTCACCAAAATGGTTTCACACATTTTGTGCTCAAACACTTTGTTAGATTGCACAAGGGCATAAGTTAAGTTACTCACCAGAGTGTGACGAGCCTCGCGAGGTGCAACCACGAGCGGATGGTTATGTTCTTTGACGAATTTGGTTATGACCCATTTGCCAGACCGGTCATACTTGACATGAATCATGGCCTTGCAACCTTCTCTTGTGCTCGGTCTTAGTTTCCTGACTGATCCAAACTTACCTCGGATGCTAACACAGTGACCTTCTTTGTTACAGCCGAATCTCCGGGCAAGGATTCTTCCATCTTTCTCGGATCTCCGGCAAGACATTACACGCATTACAAACCCTAAACGTCTAGAGTAATCATCGTAGAACATCTTGGCCGCATCCTCGGATTCAAACTCAATCCCCTCACGAGGTTCTATGGTCAAATCATCTTCCACTGCCATAGAACCAGAGACAATTTCAGCTTTACATTTTTATGCTAATTTTTCACCTTTACATTTCTCTGCTAATTTTAAAGTGATTAGCTTTTACTTGAAGAAAGTATAAAAATTATGTGAACCGTTAAAGCTTAATTAAGCTAAAACAAAAGGGTTTAATTAAGCTCCGAGAATCTGAGAGCTTTCCGACAAGACAGGGATTCCGATTTGAAAAAACTCAGAAATGTTGGAAAAGTTTGAATTTTTTTTCTCTTTCTGAAAAAGAATATTGATCAGAGTTTAAACTTCTTATCTACAATCTGAACAAGAATGAGCCAAGTAGTAATAAAGTTGAAACCTAGAGACGAAACCCAATCGAAGAAATCCGACAAATCGCTAATCCGAGAAGGAAAAACAATCGAATTAAGGAAGTTAGATATTCAAGAACAATAAAATACGAGAGAAGCTGAGAAATTTCCTTACTGGATTTGACGACCTGCAGGATCTTCGGTTGCACGAGCACAGAGAGAGTAAGAGAGAGGTGACCTGAAGTGATATTTTAGAATTTGACTGGGGTAAATAGAAAGAATCAAATATTTGAGGTGGTTTCTGCGAAGAAGATTTTAAAAATACTCAAAACGAGTGCATATGGATCGTACCTCTGACATGATAAACAGTACAATGCATATATAAACGCACTTATATGGGATCATGATGGGCTTAAGTAGCCCAAAACAATACGATTTTGATTTTTTTTGTTGTTTTTATAGTCATCAACAATCTGGAACGGAAAGTCGATCATGTTAAAAAAAAAAAGGAAATCGATCTCTGGGTATAATTTATGGAATTTCTCAATTACAGAGAAAAAAACCACTAGGCATAAAAAAATGGGTGAAAAATAAGAAAACACTAATCTGAAATCCGATGTACATATTTCCCCAGCTATTGGAATATTTTTTCATCTGAATTCAACTAGACATCATTCGATTCTCTATGAAATATAGTTGAATGAATTGAGTTGATTTTTTTAATAAATAATATGGAATGGCTGACGATTGTGCTGGTCTTCAATTGAGTTAATTTTGATCCTTATTTAATGAGTCTGAAACATATGATTATTCTTTTGTTAAGTTTTTTTATGCACTTTTTCAATTAATAACTTGTACTAAATTTGAACACTAATATGGTTTATTCTTTGATTATTGTTTGCGGATAATGAAAGAGGTTCACTTTATTTCGAAAGCGAATTTCGATCCATACAAATTTACAAAAATATTTACTCATAAAATGTATTTAAAAATTGACAAAGTTAAATAAAAAAAAATTTGAGTGATAGCTGGCTAGCGGAACAGAAGATGGGTTAGTGACTATTTTGGATTCATGACTCGTTTTGTTTGGTTTGATTGTGATTTGTGAATACTCTGTTTTTTCAGGTTATGGAAGAAGAGCCACATATCTCGATCACAAAGTTTATCTCTCGGTTTATAATAAGCAGAGACAAAGCAGTTGTTCTAATTATTATATATCAATGGAATGAATAAATGTTTAAAAACATCAACACAATACCTAAAGACTAAACCACACAACTGTTCACATTTTGTGCAATTTATTAGTTGATCAAAATTCTAACTAATCCTAGTTATAGAATTATGAAAATAAACAAGATATAAGCATGAAACATTACACATGTTTAGCATCATCGCAGTAACATCTTTGACCTGATCACCGTTTATATTGGCTGAACTTGGCTGAACTTGGCTGAACATCCGCACGTCGGTAAACACAACTGGTGTGATTTTCTACAAATAGCACTATAATGAGTAAAGCTCAATTTGTTGTGATTTCACATTTAATATGTTTCTTAAATTTTTTTCTTTTTGTTATTGAGAAGTTATTTAGTTAAAAATACTTAATGGCAACCTGCTGTTACATTGTCACTACTCCGACTGTGGCAAATTTATTTTACATAAGCTAATCAAAGAATACATAATAAGCACGATCAACGTATGAAATCTCTTTGAGAATTTACCACAAACACCCACTGTGAGTAAAACCCATTTTATTTATAACATTCCAAAAAGAGTCATTGTGACGTTTATTGAAACTTTCTTCAATATGTACTAATTAAATTAAACTAGTTTTGTAAGAAGATAGCTTATTGTAGAGTTTGCCTCTTATATTGTCGAAAAAGCGGCTTCTTATTTTGTCAAAAGAAGCCGAGGTAAGTTTAGTACTCTACTATTATTGTTGGTTATTTCATTTTTTCTTAATGTTTTTTTCATTAAAAACCAGATTCTGGAGCTAAAATTGTGGAAAGAAAGATATAATTATTTCTTAAGTGTATGATGGCTGCATGGATGAAGTACAAAGACTTGATGAAGAACAACTCAGATTGAGTCAGAAGATTTGCGGAAGGAAGATACTGTAAAGATTGCAAACCAGTAGCTGAACAAGAAACATGTATCTACTACAAAACACAAGAATATATACAGTAGCTAAAAGAAAAAGAATTTTTTTTTTTAATGAGAATAAAAAGGTATTCTCTCTTCTTCATTTAAGGGTGACTTTCTTCAGTCTTTGCCTAAGAGCCTCAATTGCGTTCTGTATCCTGTTGCCTTCTCTAATTCTCACTTCCAGAGACGCCTCATGTAAGTTTTGAATCCCTCGACCCAAGTTTGCAATCGAAGGAGCTGAAGGAAGAGACACAGCTGCACATTCGATCCCGTCTCCATAGAGGAGCAATCCCGCACAAGTTGCAAGACTGGCTCCAAACGTTGCCAACGGTAAGGCACCAATAGGTTTTGCTCGTCTTTTCCGCATGATCTCATAGAATGCAGCTCTCATGGCAGAGAAGCTCGTCTTTTCAGCAGAAGCTATAATACTATGTGTTACTGCTCTGATTTTCTCGGCGGATAAAGATGCTTTCACTAAAGACGTTGATTTGGCTCCAGAACTAGCAAAACCTGGGGCCATTACTTTTGAGGGATACGCCACTTTGGTAAATGCAAATGTCAGTGCCTTATGGGTATGTGTCAAGAAAACGTTCAATGAAGCTGGGACTTTCAAAGTTAATATCTTGAAGAAAGGAGAAGCAGAAACGGCCTTGGATAGTGATGAAGCACCCCAGATAGCAGTCGCACCTGCACCAACCGCTACCACCGGTTTATCAGACAACAGTCGTTTTAACTTCGAGTCATTAGTCTTCTGGTCGTTATCAAAATTTTGTAGCATATGCTCAGACATTTCCTTGATTTCCTGAGGAACACAAGTTTTCCAGTGCTTCCTAAGACCTGCGAGGCTACTTGCATCTACTACTGCTACTACGTTCTTAAACTTTTTAGCCTGGCTTCGAAGAAGATCACCCATAAGTGCATAAGATTTGTCGTCAGAAGAGAGCTGTGAAAACTGAACTTCGGTTCGGCTTGAACTTCCCAGGTTCTTGATGGGTAGCCGACCAGCATTGTTCAAAGCAATTCTTAAACCTTCAACTGCAATCTGGAAAAGGTATACTTCAGAAATAACCTCTGTATCCATGGATTTCCCTGTATTTACATCAGACAACATCTTTCTAGCATTTGCTAGAGCTTTCCCAATAGATGGCAGATCACTAAAAATATCATGGAGGTCAACAAGCAAGGAATAGATGGATTGAGCAAATGGTGGAACCTCATGACTATCGGACTGTGTTCCGTTGGAAACCACACTGGCAGCACAGCTTGATGGGCTAAGCTCTTTACTGAGCTGATTGAACTGCAAAAATAACAACTTCAGCATCTGTGCGTGTACATCATTGGTTATCAGAAACCTTCGCGAGCTTGCAAATACAGTAGAGCCAGAAGACTGTGGTATGAGACTATTCGCTAGACGTTGCATCTTGCCTCCTGGTTCAGTATCTCCAGGGGAGGCTTCCATGGCAGAGATATTTACAAATGGAGATTCAAGCACCAGAAACGATGAACCAACCTCCCCAGCCGCCCGTTTGGCAGCCAATAGATGTCCATTAAAACTTGTTCCAAAAATCTCCCTCAAAACCAAGATCCCTGCAACACTCTCGTAATTTTCTTTGTTAACCTTGTCTACAAAACACTGTCTAAGAACTTGAAAAGCTGATGTGGGGATCGAATCACTTGAGCCATCCCCTAATACACTCTCCTCAACTTGAGCTTCTCCAAAAGCTGATTTGTCTACTTGAGCCACTACAGCGCCAGGGCGGATTTCCCGTATAAGACACTCGGCATCAACAGCAGATCTCTGAGATAGATTCTGAACAGAAAGTAAGTAAACAGTCGAATCATGCTCAGGGACTCTGATTGCAAAAACAAAGTTCTTTGTACTCTCAGGAACTGAAAGTCTGCGAACAAGCTCCTCTGATTCCCTCAGCTCATTGTTCTTAAATACTGAAAAAGGCCATATATTTCGCAGACTATTGGCAAAAACTAATGCCACCATTATCAGATTCGTCGGATGATTTCGAACCCAGTAAAATGAATTCTGAGACGAGCCAACAAGACGAACCCGAACAAATCTCTAGTCTCCTATCGAGTTCAATCGACCCGGGCATAGATAAGAAATCGGTCTAGTGAATCATGCGGGCGATTTCGTAATAACTACTCAAATCGAATTGGAGCAATAAGATTTTCCAAATCCAGAAATTGACGATCGAATCAACACTCAGATGAATCAACAAAGAGAAGAAACGACAAATTGAGAATCACAGCAGACACGAACAGCGGCTGATGTCGGAGAGGTACCTGTTTGGCTAAAAGGAAAAGCTGTGACGAAGAATCGAGGATCGATTTTGCAGATTAAGGTTCAATGATTTCGAATTCCTCCATACCAGTTCATGAATTTTGTAACTCTGACTCTCTCACGCGACTCGCGTTCGTTCGCACACAGATACAGAGAGTTCTTCCTCGTGTTTCTTAAAAACAATTTAATTTAATTTTCATTTGAAATTCTGAAAAAGCTCTTAATTTTGTGATTCGCTTTATTCAACTCTTCGGCTTGGTTCAGTTTGGTTATGTTGGTTTTCTCAATTTAGTCGATTTTGATTGGTTCCATTTTGGTATTTCTCCAACTTTCTATTGATAATTACTCCGAACCGAATTTTGGTTATGAAATTATGTAAAATGAAGTAAAAACTAGTCTCTTGTTCATAGAAAAAGCGTGAACTTGTTGAGCCTATGCCTAAGAGCCTCGATTGTGTTATGTATCCTGTTGTTTTCTCTGCTTCTCACTTCCAGAGACGCCTCACGTAACTTCTGAATCCCTAGACCCAATTTTGCAATCGAAGGAGCAGAAGGAAGAGACACAGCTGCACATTTGATCCTCTTTTCATAGCAGAGCAATCCCGCACAAGCTCCAAGACTGGCTCCAAACGTCGCCAACGGTAAGGCGCCAATAGGTTTTTCTCCTCTTTTCCGCATTATCTCTGAGAATGCAGCTCCCATGGCAGAGAAGCTCGTCTTTTCAGCAGAAAATATAATACTCTGTGTTACTGCTCCGATCAAATATGCTTTCAACAAAGACGTTGTTTTGGCTCTAGAACTAGGAAAAACCGGGGCCGTTACTTGTGAGGAGGGATACGCCATTTTGGTAAACGCAAATGACATTGCCTTATGAGTACTCTGTGTCAAGAATAGGTTCGATGGAGCTGGGGCTTTCAAAGTTAGAATCTTGAAGAAAGGAGAAGCAGAAATGGCCTTGGATAGTGATAAAGCACCTGCTCCCACCGGTTTATTACCAGATAACAGTCGTTTTAGCTTTGAATCACAATCGTCAGACATATCTTTGACTTCTTGAGGAACACAAGTTCTCCAGTGTCTCCTAAGACCTGCGAGGTTACATGCATCTACTACTGCTACTATCTTCTTAAACTTTTTAGCCTGACTACGAAGATGATCTGCCATAAGTGCATAAGCTTTGTCCGTACAAGAGAGCTGCGAAAACTGAACTTGGTGGGTTCGGCTTGACCATCCTAGGTTTAGCCGACCAGCATTGTTCAAACCAATCCTTATACCTTCAACTGCAATCTGGAAATAGTAAACATCAGAAATAACCTCTGGATCCATGAATTCTCCTCTGTTTACATCACACAACATCTTTCTGGCACTGGCTAGAGCTTTCTTAATGCATTTTTGACCCTTATATATGTCATGAAGATGAACAAGTAAGCAATAAATTGATTCAGCAAATGGTGGAACCACATCAGTATCGGACAGTACTATCTCATTGGACACTACTTCATTGGCAAGGCATCTTGATGTGATATGCGATGGTAGCAATTTAGGCATATGTGCATCATTGGCTATCAGAAACCTTATCGAGTTTGGAAAATATGCAGAGCCATAATCTTGTGGTATGAGACATTTAGCTAGACCTTGCATAACAAAAGGAGATTCAAGTACTAGAAACGATGAACCAACCTCCTCAGCCATTCTTTTGGCAGCCAGTAGATGCCCTTTAACACTTGTTCCAAAAATCTCCCTCAAAACCAAGTTCCCTGCAACAATTTTGTAATGTTCTTCGTTAACCTTGTCTACAAAACACTGTTTAACAACTTTAAAAACTGACGTTGGGATATAATCAGTTGAGCTATCTCCTAATAACACACTCTCATCAACCAGAGCTTCTCCAAATCCTGAGTTGTTTAGTTGAGCCACTACTGCATCAGGGCGGATTTCCCGTATAAGACACTCGGCATCAGTGACAGATCTCTGAGATAGATTCTGAGCAGAAAGTATGTAAATAGTTGAATCATGCTCAGGGACTCTGATTGCAAACACAAAGTTCTTTGTACTCTCAGGCACTGAAAGTCTGCTAACAAGCTCCCTTGATTCCCTCATGTCACTGATGCTTTCAGGTATTGAAAAGGGCCAAATATTTCGCAGGCTATCCAGAAAACCAAATTTCACCATTATCCAATTCGTCTCCAAAGACAGAGAATTTCAAACCCTAGTAAAACGAACTCTGTTCTGAGACGTACCCTCCACGGCAAGCGAATGAATCCGAGCTGAGCCCTAAACTTCAATTCAATTCAATCGAGCCGCGCGTAAATAAAGAAATCGATCGTAATCCTACACAGAGAGTCGAATTAGTGGGAAGAAACTTCTCCTCCAACAACAGATTTAAGGACGCTACCGAATTTAATTATTTGATCCTTTCGGTTTAATATTTCTCTCCCCATTCGCTTATTACGTCAAAGCGGCTTGGTTCGGGTTGGTTGGTTTAATTTTCTTAATTCATAGTATGAACCCGTATATGAATCTGATTTTTATTTTCTTTGGTTCAATTCTGGATAAACCTAATTACGTTTACAATGGTAATCAGATTAATTAATATTCTATTGATGAAAATATTGCTATTCGGATATACTCTTCAGCAATATACACATATACGGGTTGGACCCCGGATGACGGTTCAAATACACTAAAGTTTTGTTTGGTTTGATTTTCATATAATTAATATATTATACTGTGAATATCATATAAATAATCAATCTTATTATATCTTTCAAAACAACAAGGAATCCTAAACCGATATCCAAACCAATCTTTTAGACTTACAACTTTGAAAAGCCGGATATCATGTTAGTAAGAATATGAGTCACAAAAGTTATTCGCTTTGGACATACTAAATTTGGTTTTGGTTCGGTTGCGATTTATTTTATTTGATATAAAAAATACTCCCTATGTAGGTTGAAAAAAACGTGACCAAATTTGCAATGCTCTCGTTAATTTTATTCATTAACAATTTTAACAAAAAGAAAACTTCATTTACAATTTTATAGGCTATCATTTATAAAGTGTGAAGAGTGAATAGATTCGTGGTGTATTTTGTTCTAAATTGTGTCTACAACAACAGGTCTCCAAGGAAGTGCATGCAAATTGCGTGTATCTTATTTTTAGGGAAAGAAATATAGATGGTGCCGTAGATGCCTGCCACACATTTTTAGGCTATTCTCCTTCATTCATCACAAAAGAATAAGGCTTTTAATTCTCATGTGAATTAGTTAATGGTCAAGGCATGTTTTAAGCTTGATTGGACCGTAATTTTGTTTTGTTTTTTTTTTTTTTTGTTTTCTCTCAGGCCACGACATGGGGCACCGCATAATTTCTGAATCACAATTATGAAGATCCCAGTGCATAAAATGAATGCAATAATCTTCTAGTCCTTAATTAATTAGGAACTCCTATAATTAGATATTTCCTACAACAACAACAATATCAATTAATGCTCGTGTTTATGTTAATGTAAGTTAAAAAGAATACTTTAAACGAAATTACGAACAATCATTAATTAAAGACGTACAAACAAAAACAAGTTTTTTGCTTTAATACTATACTCCAAATCCAATAGAGAAAAAAACTAACAAGTCCAAGCGAAAGAAACATTTGACCAAAAAGCCAAAACTTGGATACAATAGTTACGGGAACTCTCACCACCCTCCTCACCGATTCAAAGCCGACACGTCACCCTCACTAAAGCTTCATAGCCACTCATACTCAAATCTTATTGGTCTGTCACAGTCACCATGTGTCAGCATGAGAAATAGACAGAAATCAAATTAACTCTCTTTTTTTGGTTATTTAATATTTTTCGGCTGTTTTGTTTTTATTTTAACTCCAAAGAAACGCAATAAAACGGTGTTGTGAAATCAAAGCAAAAACAAAGGGACGTGCGAGAGAATAAGAGCGCACTTCAATCGACCGACGGATTCATCTTCTTCTTCTTCATCTTCGCATCTTGTGAAGCTGAAGCTCGAGGAGAGTTCTAGATCCTATTGAATTTCTGTAATTTAGATCCCACATATACGACAAGGAAGATTGGAGAGAGAGTATCGAAATCCTTCTGGATCTACGCGGTTTAGGCGGGAGGAGGTTTGGGCTGGGGAATGCGCTGTTGAGCTGATCTTATAGGTCCATTGAGGTTAGTTTGATCGATCTGGTTCTGATTGTTTTTTCTCGGAGTTTGATTTCTGTGCGTAAAAAATGTGATTTTGCAATGGCGCCACAAGTTATGCTTGATTCTGCTCTCAGCTTACATTCTCTTCTTCTTCCTTCTTATTGGGTTTTGAGATCTACGTTCGTTTCATTATCTTTGTAAATTGTGGTTTTATGGTTATTAAGATCTGATCGTGGGATTTTCACTTGGGTATACAAAAACCACTCTTTGGCGTCGCTCTTCCTACTTCTCATTTGTGAAATGTTTAAATTGAGTTTCTTTAATCGTGATTGCTTCTATTGTTTTTCAGGTTTAGCTTAGTCTAGAATTGACAAGTTGGGAAAGGCCGATGAAGAACGGGATGGCTGAGTGCAGCGTATGTCGTTCAAGGTTGGTTTCTCCCAGTAGCAAAGCTATAGCGAGGGCTTATGAATATGACAACCACAAGATTAGAGTATCCTCAAAACAACGAGCCCTCAATGTCTTTTTGGTAGTCGGTGACTGCATGCTAGTTGGCCTTCAGGTAAAATCATTTTAGAAACGAATTGGCTAAAACACTGGAGATTTTATCATATCACTGTTGATTCATGTACAATCGTAGTAAGTTGTTGTTTTGATTCCAATTCGTCATTTTTTTTTTTTTTGGATAAAATTTCATTTAAAAATTGCGTTTTTTTAATGCCATTACAGCCTGTCTTAGTGTACATGTCTAAAGTGGATGGAAAGTTCAACTTCAGTCCTATTAGCGTCAATTTCTTGACAGAAATCGCAAAAGTTATATTTGCGATTGTCATGCTTCTGATCCAGGTACGTTTCTGAATTGTTGACTTTAGTTCTTGCCAAATACCAATTATATGTGTGGATCATTTAAATTTCTTTCTTGCATCTAGAACTAGTTGGTAGATGTTTCTTCTGCACTAGAACATGAAAGCAATTTCTGAGGTTTTTGAAGAGGGTTAAATTCATATTCCTTTGCTCTTATGTAACTATATCATAGGCGTGCTTTGGTTGATTAACTGGTAACGGAATGCGATGGGGTTCATATTCATTTTCTTGTGCATACAGACAGTTTCTTGGTTTTCTCTTATTGCTTCTTTCACGCGTGTCTCGTTTTTCGGTAGGAAAAGTGGCCGCCCTTTTAACACTCATGTTTTTTGTGGTAATATTGTAGGCCAGGCACCAAAAAGTTGGAGAGAAGCCTCTACTGTCTTTTTCCACATTTGTGCAGGTAGCTCTTCGTGGCAATTAAGAATTTGGGAAGTACTGTAAATGATTCTATACTAGGATTGTGGTATGGCATAGTCTCAAATTTAAAGTCAGTTTTGTGGGCTCTCAGTGTCTAATAAGCTTGGTGTATGTTAGACATCTGGTGGTCAAAGCATGATAGTTTGAAATGTAGATGATATGTGACCACTAGACTTATCTGATGCTATACCTTTTTTTTCCGTAAATTGTTTCCTTCTTTAAAACTCACAACTTCTGAGTTCATTGTTTCCCATTTATAGTGCAAGTTGCAGTAACACGAGTCTTTGTTTCGCAGGCAGCTCGGAACAATGTGCTTCTAGCTGTTCCAGCAGGGTTGTATGCCATTAATAACTATCTTAAGTTTACAATGCAGGTATGTCTGCTTCTTATTTAAATACGTGTGTATTCTTTGGTCTACTTGAGCTGCAGAAATTGAATTTCATTGAATAATTGTCTAAGTTGTTTTATGTTTTACGCTTTCTGGCGTCATTTGCTGCTTTGAATTAATAAGAACTTAGCAATGGTTTCACCTATTTATCTAGCCTTCTCGGCTACTGTTTGGTTTTATCTTTCTTCTGTTTTAGTTTCACCCAGTAATTCACTTTTCTTCTGTGCCAGTTATATTTCAATCCTGCTACTGTAAAGATGCTCAGCAATCTAAAGGTTCTGGTGATTGCTGTACTTCTGAAGATGATAATGAAGCGACGATTTTCCATCATACAGGTCAGGTTCAATTATTCTGGGTTACTGTATGTGTGATTTTTTTTGGTTTCATGCATTGTTATGGACGTTTCTGTTTTGAGCTTGCTTACCTTCAACTCTAAACGGGATTAAATATGTTTGATTTTTTTTTGTTGTAGTGGGAAGCACTTGCTCTGTTGTTGATAGGAATTAGTGTAAATCAGCTGCGTTCTCTTCCTGAAGGTTCTACTACTATGGCTGTCCCAATTGCTACGGGTGCATACATCTGTACCTTTATCTTTGTAAGTTACATTTTTTGGTGCTTATATTTGCTTTTCTTGGACATTTAGTATGGAGGTGATTCTATTCACATAATTTGTTGTAATTCATACCATTGCTCACCCGTTATTGCATCAAAGAAAAAGTTGTAATATCGAGTAAGAGGCTTACTGAGCCCTTCAACTTGCAGGTTACTGTCCCATCTTTGGCATCTGTCTACAACGAGTACGCTCTTAAGAGCCAGTATGACACAAGCATTTATCTTCAGGTTAGTTACTCCTGATACATAGTTTTTCCATATAGCATCAGAGAAATGAGATGCTTCTAGTAAAATTGGAAGGCTTGTGGTGACCGTTGCTTGTAACCGTTTTTAAAGGCTTAAAGCCATTTGATTCGATTATGTTAATTAACTGTGAGGTATATCGCTGGAAGGGTCATGACAATCGGAGCTTGTCTATCTCAGTAGCCATTTCTATTAGAAAAACAGAATTCTTGGCCTGGGTTGTTTAATTCTTTTTCAGAATAGTCTAGTTTGCTGTGTTTACGTTGTGGGCCATTTACTGTTCTGAACATAAATTTTGGCACGTGTTGTTGAACTTGCTCTCTTCTAAGGTCTAGTCGGTGCTCTTAGCAATGTGGTTTCTCATCTTAGGGTTCACCGCTCATATGTCAAATTCTAAGACCATGGTTTTCTCCTGCGTCTTCCTCTTCTTTTGTTTTTGTTTGTTTATGTGTTCTGAATGTAAAACAATAATTTCCCTGGTGCAGAACTTGTTTCTCTATGGTTATGGTGCAATATTCAACTTCCTCGGAATCCTAGGAACTGTTTTATATAAAGGTATGGGTAATCTTAACACGGCAGAGAAAAATGTGATACATGTTGAAGCAAATTAAATGCCAGAAAAGCTTCTTGAAATCCTGTAGACGCATTGCTAACAACTTCGCCATTGTCGACAGGTCCTGGCAGTTTTGATATCCTACAAGGACATTCTAGGGCTACCGTATTTCTAATACTGAACAATGCAGCACAAGGGATTCTATCCTCCTTTTTCTTCAAATATGCAGGTAAAAAAAATGAGAAAAAACCTTGCAGTGATATATTTACATGGATATTTAGTTTTCTTCATTTTTGTATATTCTCAGATACAATCTTGAAGAAATATTCATCTACGGTTGCCACAATATTTACTGGCATAGCATCTGCAGCGCTGTTTGGACATGTATTAACCATGAATTTTCTTCTGGGGATTTCTATAGTTTTCATTTCAATGCATCAGGTAATCCATACAAACCGCTCCCGGGTGTATCAATTAACTTACGTAATGGCACCTCTCTCTTTTTCTTTTACATCTCTAATGTTTTTTCTGACTCATAATATATGCAGTTCTTTTCACCCCTCGCAAAAGCAAATGATGAGCAACAAAACGGAAACCTAGAATTAGTTAATGCAAAGGATGGTCATAGGTGTGTTGTTGTTCATTGATGAGATCATTATTTTCTTTATGATGTCATGTCATTGTTATATACTAAACTTGTTCTGAGAAACCAAAAGCGTCATTTGCCCGTATTTGCACCATCTAACTTCTTTTCTTCCTTTGTTAATTCCTCTAGGGCTAAAGACTCGTTCATCAACATGGCAGCGGGAGCAAATGAAGAGGTAAAGAACACACACACACTTACTCATTCCCATCTTCAATCATGTAATTTTCGGACTTAAGCTGATCATATTTTTGTCTTTCTTCTCTGTTTATGCAGGCTAGTCACCGCGTTGATTCAGACGACAAAGAGCCGCTTCTTCCCAGATAACCAGAGGTCCAGAGCCGTGCCCATGTTAAGAAAGAGAGTAACTCTTCCGCCACCTCGCAATTCTTTCAAAGAGTCAGTTAAGTTCGTTAAGAACATCTTTTTAAATCTAAATATGTAATTCTTTTCAGATAGAAAACAAACTAAAACAACTCTTCTTCATAGTTATACAGTATATGTATCTCAAAATTTATCTTCCTCTGTATCCCCATCCTTTTTGCTCTCTAATAACATCACTAATAGAAGCCTTGGAATTTTATCTTCCGAACCGACAGAACCGGTTGGTTCGACCAAACCAGAGCTCTTCAAACTAAGTCCATTCTCTCTCTGTTGTCCACAAAGCGAAACATCACACAATGAACATGACCACCTCGTGTTCTTCTTCTTCTTCTTCTTCTTCTTCTTCTTCTTCCCCGCGACTCTTCGCCACCAAATCTCAAATCTACAAGGCTCCTCTTTTATCCTTCTCGACTCCTAAACGCCGTCGTTCTCGTCCTCGCCGGAACCGCAAATCCAATGGCTCAACCTTCGACCTTAACGACGGCAATGTTCTTACCATCTCTACTTCGTCTTCCGCCGGAGCCGAAGACCAAAGTCTGAGCTTGACCCTAGACGTTCACCGGATTTCAGCTCTAGCTACTTCTCGCTTCCAATTGTTTCTCGATTCCGGCAAAGACGCTTTCTCCGACTTGCAAACTCTAATCGCACTCGACGATAACCGGCGAATCGTCGTCTCGTGCAGGAAATCAACTATGCAGTTCGTCGGAGGTGTGGTTTTGCTTGGATTCGTATTTGGTGTTGCAATTAGAGTTCTGGTGAAATTAGGATCGGCTTTTAAGGGTAATTTCCAGGGCAAACCCAAATTAGTAGTGAGGAGAGACAGGAGTCTTGGTGGGAAGGAAGTGGTTGTAGCTGTCGACAACAGTCGCTCATCTTCAAGCTCCATAGCTCCTGGTCAGGTTTCTCGAAGTAACTCTGTACCCACAAATCTCAAGCTCAGAGCTCAGAATAATTTGCCGAAATGGTGGCCTACTTCATTGCCTAGCCAGAGCTTGGAAGTAGACAGAGAAGACTATCAGAGAGAAGCCAACAAAATCGTTCGAGGTCACTTCTAAACTCCTAAAAGTCCTCTTTTTTTTTGTTTGCTTTTGGTTTTCCGGCAAGCTTTTGCTAAGACAATTTTTTATTTTTCTGTTTTGTTTCAGGTAGAAAGCCTTAAAAGCTGAAAGATTTCATTTTTCAATGGTATTTAGAATTACTTGTGTGTTCATGGTTTCATTCGACAAATGTAACTTATCAATTTAGTTTCCAGCAATCGTGGATAACAGAACCAGCGGAAAGGACATCACGGATAATGATATCATTCAAGTTAGTATTTCTTTACTTTCTTAATCATCACTCGATTGTGTAACTATGTTGAAATTGAGTAGATTACTCTCTCCTTTCTTTTTTGTTGCTATGAAATTATATACAGCTGCGGAGAGTATGTAGGATTTCTGGAGTACAAGTCTCTATTGAGCCAGCAAATACCCGAGATTCCTTTTACAGAACATCTGTTGATTTTGTCCTAAATGCTTGCAGCAGGTGTCTCTCTATTGACCTCTACTTATTAATTACATCTTACTCGTGTGTCTTCTGGTATGGTTCTGAACCTGTTTGAAAACTCTCTGTAGAGCTCCTTGGGACTCTTCTTCTGTCGAGATTTGTAGTGAAGATGCCCGAGAGTTCATCGCTGGCCTTGCTGAGAACATTGGACTTGCAAAGATAGATGCTGCTAGGATGGTTTGTGCAGCTGTTGCTGCACGCACACGTTCATGGTTTCTACAAGCTTGGGTAACTTACTATCCTTCTTCTAGTGTCTACTCGTTACTGCACACTTAGATAGATGATCACTGTATGTGATAGATACAAACACTAAAGAGTACATCTTTCCTGAGCAAACTCCATGTTACTGCAGGCTCTGGAAATACAAGGTAAACAATCTGAATCGGTGGCAGAACTATCGAAAATATGCCTCATTCATCGCATATTTCCTCCCGAGGAGTACTCTGTATGTGCTTTTTCTTGTCAAGTTTTCACCTTTCAGTCTCTACTTCCCTATTCCCATTGTTTTGACAACAAACCTTCCTGTTTATTGATCCATCAGGCTGAGATGGAAATGGTTGCAAGAGGGTTGGAGAAACTCATGAAGCTCGAAGAGCGACAGTCTCTACTGAAAACGTTTGTTGGAATGTGTTGCAGTGAAGAGTCTCAGAGAAGCGCAGCTGAGGCTCTGGGTTTGGTTCACTCGTAGTTAAATTGCTTCTATGCCTATTTTTCAACTTCTCATGAGAATATAAAAACAATTGGGACAACCATTTTGAAACACTATGTCTGATCTCAACTTAACAAAATGATTTTTTAATGAAATGAGACAAGGTTACTGAAACATCTTTATTCTGAGTATAGTGTCCTGACTCTTCGAAGAACAAAAGCTACGAAATAATATATAATTATGATACTGTATAAAGTCATGAATCAGAACAGGTTTGTTATAAGTCTGTGTACATTCCCTCAATCAGCGGTTATGGTAAAAGAACGAAGAAATTTTAGAAGATTACCCATCAACTCAATTTATCTTCATCTACTCAAAGCCAATTCCTACTCACCATCTCTTCCTTGATAACCCATTTACATTCCATTTGTAAATAGAAATAGGAAAAAATAAAACCTTTGAAGCCATGAATTAATTTAATATGCAAGAACCACAAAGAAGAAAATCATATCTGAGGGGTTGGATGAGCAGAAGCTGTTCCTGAAGACCTCAAGAGCGGTTGAAGAGCTTTTACGACAATGCTCATGTTTGGCCTAAACTCTGCTTCGTATTGCACGCACAACGCTGCAACCGCTGCAAGCTACATTTACCATAAAAACGCAAGTTTTAGCTTTTTAAGTCCTGTTTAATGCATTTATACATGTAAATGGTAAATTTTTTTATTTTATACATACTGTACCTTTGCAACTGCTTTGGGAGGGTACTCTCCTTTGAGTTTTGGATCAACACATTGCTTCACCTTGTCTTCACTTAGCCTTGGAGTAGCCTGAATATTTGATTTACAGAGAAACTTGTGAATAGCCAAGAAGATTTGGTAAGCTCAGAAGAGAGTAAAAGATCATATTAAGTAATAAAATTACCCAAGTGACAAGACTTTGTTGACCACGAGGCATCGTATGATCAACCGGTTTTCTCCCGGTTAGAAGCTCCAAAAGCACAACTCCAAAACTGTAAACATCACTCTTTTGGGTCAGCTGTCCTGTCATTGCGTATCTGCAAACCCAAAAATGTAGAGAGTTACATACAATGTTGAAGTTGCTAAGAATCAAGAAAGTTTCGAGCTTTGGATTTTGAAGCAGTTTACTCTGGTGCGTGATAACCAAAAGTCCCCAAAACTCTAGTGGAATGAAGACGAGCAGCCATATCAGGAGCTTGATTAGACAGATTGAAATCGGCGATCTTGGCTTCGAAATCTTCGAAAAGAAGCACATTGCTAGATCGAATATCTCTATGTATAACTGGAGGTTGAACTTTCTCGTGTAAGTATTCCAATCCTTTAGCTGCATCAACTGCAACTCGAACTCGTTGCATCCACTCAAGTGTTGGACCTGGCTGTGCTCCTTGGACTCCCTTTCTCCCTGTTTTATAACATCGGATTTACAGATCAATCTCAATCGTTAGATAGATTGATGTTGAGGAGAAAGCTATTCATACCGTGTAAAATGTCGTGCAAGGATCCCATTGTGGCAAACTCATACGCAAGGACGCGGAGATTTCCTTGGACACAATAACCAAGAAGCTGAACAAAGTTGTCATTCTTCAGCCTTGAGACCTTGGAGACCTGAGTCAAGAACTCGACATTTGTCTCGGGCTCAGATGAGTTATCGAGCTTTTTCACAGCCACGGCCTTTCCATCATTCAAGTTTGCATAGTACACTCTTCCATATGATCCTTCCCCAATTAAGGCCTTTGATCCAAAATTATCAGTCTTTTCTCTGAGCTCATCCAATGACATTGCAGGCACATCAATAGGAGGAGGCTCCTTTAAGACTGAAGGCTTCACAGGAGCTGGTGGTTTCTTATTGTTACGTCCTACACAAGCGAAGCAAATATTTGATATAACATCGATTCCTAATGCAGAAATCTGAGCTTGAATACTACACAATTTCTCATGTTTGGGCTAAGCATCTTTCAGTACAAGCTTGTCAACAAAACAGAGGAAAGAATAACTTGGACAACAGCTACTTAACCTGATGCACAAGCAAAGATACTAAGCATTGAGGATGTAATACAAAAAGAGGGCCAAGAATCTAATTCGATAGGTTACATAAATCACTTAAAGGGCATTTGAACAAAGATTAATACCATAGTCGTGGTGGCGAGTAGGAGGGCTTTTCAATCGGTTATGTTCAGATGAAGGGTAAGATTCTTTTACATGACAAGAACAGCAAAGCCACCTACGCATCTTCCCTCTCTTGCCTATATCAAGATCGTCTACAGATCTCGGTTTATCCAATCGAACAAAGTAGCTGCTCGGTGAACGATCATTCGCCTGAAATTTACATCAACATCTTTCAATCAGCTTCTCTAAAATGTTCAAAAGGAAAACAGAGGACTCTGCCATCAATTTAATAATAGACTAACAACAACAACATTTGCATATCATCATCCGCAAAAACAACAAAGGGTCGAGATAATTCCATCATTGTAGAGATTTCTCAGTGGATCACGAAATGCCCATCAAGATACACCATTCTTAGTTTTGTCAAAAACAGGGAGAATTTAACGATCATCATTGATCGAGATTGATACAAAGTTAGCACCTTTACCAAGACACCCGATTGGAAGGAAAAAAAATTAAGACACTTTGATTTGATCAAGTTTTTCTGCATGCTTACCACTTGACCACGACGATGAAAATCACGATCCATCAAGCACAAAAATGGAAAATGATAAACAAACGATCGACGAGCAATAAACCAGAGAGACGAATCAAAATGAGGCAGAGACGAAGGAGGACGAGGTAGTCGAGAAATGTTGGAATTAGAAAGAAAATAGGATAAGAGAGAGAGGGAAAAGAAAACAGCTAAGAAAAGAAAGAAAACGTCAAAAGGAAGCGACAGAGAGGCATGATCAAGAATAAAACAGACATCCCAAATTTGGCGAATTATATATAATCATAATAAATGGGAAGAAAAGAATGTGAAGAATTACCTTCAAAGTCTCTATCTTTATTTGACGGCAAAAAAAAAAAAAAGTCTCTATCTTTATTTATTCTTCTGATTTGGACAGAGACATACGTGGGAAAATGATTTCTTTCGACTGAAAAAGCTATGAAGAAAGACAGATACGAAAGAGAAAAGGGCGGCTAAGGATTAACAATAATAAAAATTCAAAAAAAAAAAGATAGTATACGTCAGATACATTTTAATTTTTTTCAAGAGGTGTTTAATTTGATTCTTAAACATGTTAATTTTTGGCTGTCACTGTGACTTGTGAATATTCTGTCGAGCTTTTTTGTGGAGCGCTTTTTTAAAAACTTTAATCTGTTCAAAACCAGAAAATTAACAAAAACGATTTTTTAAAAAAAGCTTTTTGTTGTGAAAACTTAGAAACTTTATTAATCACTGGAATGTATATATAGAATACATAGGGAATCTAGGTTAAGTACAATGCCCCTGATGGGCCTAATGGGTCGGTATAAGAGTCCATATATGATATGTGTTATAACACTCCCCCTTGGACGAGTGAACCGGGTCAGCTACTCAATCGGGATCTCGATAATGCGCTGGGGAATGTTGCCTCATTAAAACCTTACCAGGAAAAACCCAATGGGACAAAACCATGGTGAAGGAAAAAGAGTACAACACGCATTACTCCCCCTGATTGTAGCATCACTGCAGATCTCTAAGTCTATACATTCCTATCTGTTTGACGAGCTTCCGGTGTGTTGAAGTAGGCAATGATTTGGTGAAGAGGTCAGCTGAATTCTCACTGGATCGGACCTGCTGAACGCTGAGAGTGCCGTCCTTCTGCCAGTCTGAGGTTGAGAAGAACTTCGGTAGAATGTGCTTCGTCCGATCTCCTTTGATATATCCTTCCTTGAGCTGAGCTATGCATGCCGCGTTGTCTTCATACATCACCGTGGGCTGTGTGTCTTCGTCCATACCACAATCTCTGCGGATGTGCTGAGTCATGGAGCGCAGCCAAACGCATTCCCTACTAGCCTCATGAATGGCTAGGATTTCAGCATGGTTTGATGAAGTGGCAGTGAGTGTCTGCTTCATTGATCTCCAAGAGATGGCTGTTCCTCCATGCGTAAAAACGTAGCCAGTTTGAGACTTGGCAGTGTGCGGATCTGATAGATATCCTGCATCGGCGAAGCCGACTAACCCATCTTTATTTTGGTTAGTATAGAAGAGTCCTAAGTCTTGAGTACCTCGAAGGTATCTTAGGAGATGTTTTATACCGTTCCAGTGCCTCTGAGTTGGAGATGAACTATATCGAGCGAGGAGGTTCACGGCGAAACATATGTCTGGTCTAGTGTGACTAGCCAGGTACATTAACGCTCCTACAGCACTTAGGTATGGCTTTTCAGGACCAAGGATTTCTTCATCATCCTTTTTGGGACCAAGAGGGTCATCACTTAAGCTTCTAACTACCATTGGGCTGGTCAATGGGTGAGCTTGGTCCATATTAAATCGCTTGAGTACCTTTTCGATATAAGCCGATTGATGCACAAGGATTCCTCCTTTGATGTACTCAAGTTGTAATCCCAAACAGTATTTTGTTTTGCCTAGGTCTTTCATTTCGAATTCTGCTTTTAAGCAGTCGACTGTTTGGGAGATCTCACCAGATGTTCCGAGGATGTTTAGATCATCCACGTATACTGCTATGATTACAAATCCTTTGTTTGAGTACTTCTTGATGAAGATGCATGGACTGATGGGGTCATTTTTGTAGCCTTCTTTGATGAGGTAATCGCTGAGGCGGTTGTACCACATACGCCCACTTTGTTTCAGTCCATACAAGGATTTGTTCAGCCTGATGCAGTATTGATCTCGAGATGCATTTTTGTCTTTTAGTTCAATGCCATCTGGGAGTCTCATATATATTTCGTTGTCCAGGGGCCTATAGAGATATGCAGTTACAACATCCATTAACCGCAGATCAAGATTTTCTCTTATGGCCAGACTTATGAGGAATCGGAATGTTGTTGCATCCACCACTGGAGAATAAGTCTCCTCATAATCGATTCCGGGTCTCTGTGAGAATCCTTGTGCTACAAGCCGTGCTTTGTATCGAACGACTTCACCGAGTTCGTTCCTTTTGCGCACAAAGACCCATTTGTGGCCCACTGGCTTGATGTGTGATGGGGTCCGGATGATCGGACCGAACACGTTTCTGAGTTTGAGACTCTTTAACTCCACGTTTATGGCTTCTTTCCATTTTAGCCAATCTGTTCGATGTGTACACTGTGTTATTGACGTGGGTTCTAGATCCTCTTGCGTGAGCGCAACATCAAGTGCTACTTTGTATGCAAAGAGTGCATTTAAGTCGACTTCTTTTCGATTCTATTGTATTCCGGACATATTGTAATTGATGGAGATCTCATTGTTATCTTCTGAACCTGGAGATTCGGCGTCCCGAACTTCCATTGAGGGTTCATTAGATTGAGTCTCAGCCGCGGCTATGTCTGATATTGCAGGAATCCCGGTTTCGGTTATTGCACCTTTCTTTGATTTCCGGGGATTCTTATCTTTGGAACCGAGAGGTCTGCCCCGTTTGAGACGTGGTGCAGACTCTGTAGCAACTTGGGTCTGTCCCGTTGGGACAGCTATTCGTACTGGTGCATTACAAGCTGGGATGTACGATTTGGTTACTTTGGTCGGGTCAGCAAAGGAATCTGGCAATTGATTAGCTAGCTTTTGATAATGAATAATCTTTTGGATCTCTGAATCACATTCTAGAGTCCGAGGATCTTGCCAATTTAATGATGTTTGATTCCATGAAAGATCTTTGACCAGCTTGTTTGTCTCACCACCTAAAGAGGGATATATCGATTCATCGAATTGGCAATCCGCATATCTGGCCTTGAAGAGATCTCCAGTGGTTGGCTCGAGATATCTTATGATGGTGGGAGAGTCAAAACCAACATATATTCCCATCCTTCTTTGAGGTCCCATTTTGGTTCGATGTGGTGGAGCAATGGGTACATATACTGAACATCCAAATGTTTTGAGATGGGAGATGTCTGGCTCATGACCCGAGAGTAGTTGGGATGGGGAATATTTGTGTTCACTAGATGGCCGGATGCGTATGAGTTCAGCAGCATGTAATACTGCATGTCCCCATGCTGAGGCCGGGAGCTTTGATCTCATGAGTAATGGTCAGGCTATCCATTGAATGCGTTTAATGAATGATTCAGCCAATCCATTTTGAGTATGGACATGTGCTACAGGATGTTCCACGGTTACTCCCATGGCCATACAGTAGTCATTAAACGCTTGTGAGGTAAATTCACCAGCATTGTCAAGGCAGATAGTCTTTAGTGGGAAGTCAGGGATATGGGCCCGCAATTTTATGATTTGGGCCAAGAACCTAGCGAAGGCTTGGTTCCGAGAGGACAAGAGACAAACATATGACCAACGGGTCGATGCGTCTATAAGGACCATGAAGTACCGGAATGGTCCGGAAGATGGATGTATATGTCCACAGATATCGCCCTGGATTCTTTCTAGGAAATGAAGTGTTTGTTTAGAGATTTTAACTGGTGAAGGCCGAGTGATCAATTTGCCTTGAGAACAAGCTGTGCACATGAGGTGTTGAGGATAAGCTCGGTTTTCTTTGAGGGTATGCCCTTGAGAGTTTTGAATTTGTTTACGCATCATATTTGCACCGAGATGACCGAGCCGGTCGTGCCAAATAGTATAATCAGTAAACCGGGCTTTGAGAGTGGTATTAGCTTCAATCATACTGACTTTAGCATGGTAAAGTCCAGTAGAGAGCGCGGGTATGGTTTCGAGGATTTGTTTATGGCCGTCTACGGTTTTAGTGACTAGGAGGGATTCTTTGTTCCCTTGACCTTGGGTTTCTATGTGGAAACCATTCTGTCTTATATCCTTGAAGCTCAGAAGATTTCTCTTCGAACTAGGAGAATATAGAGCATCTGGTATTTCAAGTTGTGTGCCATTTGATAGCAACACATAGGCATGGCCATATCCTTCGATAAGGTTTGAGGGACCCGCGATGGTGCTAATATTTGCGGTTTGATAGGTTAGGTTTATGAAGTAACTTTTGTTTCTTAAGAAAGTGTGGCTGGATCCACTATCTACGACTATGGTTTCCATTTGCTGGTGTGCTTTATTATGAATAGAAGATAGAATTCAGTATTGAGGAATTCAGAAAATGTGATAAATCATAAAGTAAAGCAGTGTCTGAGAATAAAGGCAAATGGAAAAAAAAATGAAACAAATCCCAAAATTAAAAATATAAAGAACAAAATCAAATTGTATCAGAGTTTCAGATGATTGAATTAATCGAGGAGATCAGCTGTTTCATAGTCCATGGGGTCGGTCTGCTCGTTTGTGGTGTTCTCATCATCAAGGAGGTCGTCACCTTCCAGGTTAGCAGCATCGACTGGCTGAGTCATGTTGGCTTCAGCAGGAGCTTTTCCGTATTTCTGGTATAGATCGCAGTGGATCTTGGGGGTGCGACATTGCTTTGTTGGGTGGTTGAACATCCCACATCTGGTACAAGCAGAGTGATCGGGGTTGGTGTGGCGGGTCGGCTTGGTGATGCCTCGACCACGACCAGGACCATAACTGAGGTTAGGTCGGTTGCCACGACCATGTCCGCGTCCACGTCTTCCACGTCCATGTCCTCGCCATTACCACGTCCATTACCACGTCCACGGCGGTGATCTGAGGATCTATCGGGTTGAACATGGTAGGACTCTTGACGAGAAGCTGGGACAGGAGCCGATCCCGGGGGCCTCATAGCGCTGTTCCTCATAAGCAGCTGGTTATTCTTCTCAGCGAGGAGAAGACAGGACAACAAGTCTTCGTACAATGTGTGTTTCATTGCACGGTATTGTTGTTGGAGCACAACATTCTCTGTGCTGAATGTGGATAATGTTTTCTCGAGGAGATCATTATCTGTCACATCCTCGCCACAGAGTTTCCGGATGGCAACAATACGAAAGAGTTCGTTGTTGTAATCATCTACGGATTTGTAGTCCTGGAAACGAAGGTTCTTCCAGTCGAAATCTGCCTGAGGCAACTGGACCATTTTCTGATGGTCATATCGCTTTTTCAGCGCTTGCCACAATTCAAGTGGATTCTCAAGAGTGAGATATTGCTGCTTAAGGCTCGGGGCCAGATGATGGCGTATGTGACATATCGCCTGAGACTGTCCCTTACGGGATGCGGTGTTACCGTCGGTAATACACGCATCGAGTTCTTTCGATGCGAGGAACAAGCGCATGTCTAGGGCCCACTCGAGGTAGTTATCCTCGGAGACGTGAAGGGCCTCGAATTCACATTTCTGAATGTTTGACATCTGAAACATGAGATTGATTTTGTTAGGGATTGTTTTGAGAAAATTTTGAATGCTGATGATGAAACTTTCTATTTTGAGAATATTTCTATTTTAGGAAAGTTTCTAAATTTGGAAAGTTTCTAATTTGGGTAATTTTCTAAATGAGGAAAGTTTCTATGTCGGGAAAATTTCTATATGAGGAAAGTTTTTATATGAGGAAACTTTCTATTAGAGGGAACTTTCTCGGAAATAGTAAATTTTAAAGGGTATGGTTTTAGTTACCCCGAACATGATGTCGGTTTAATAGCTGTGATTTAATCGGTTAAAGCCGAATATAATTTCGGTTAATGAGAACCAGGTTTAGCCGGTTTTAGGCGGTTTAGGAGGAACCCTAGGGGAGCCGAATATGATTAGGGTTTTATCTAGGGTTTTAACGGTTTGGAAAACATATTTTGGATGTGATTTCGAGATCTATAGGATCTGTGGTCGATGGTTTTAATAATTTCATAAGGACAACAAAGAAATCACGTGAAAAGGACTAGGGTTTAAGCATTATGACTTACGATTTTGAAGATTACAAAATCGTGAATCAAGCTTAGGATTTAGGGTTGATTTTCTTAGTTTATTCAATCAAGTGTTTTAAGCAAGAGAATCAACAATCAAATAAGCTGCAACAAGCTTATTAAACATGAAGAAAATCGAATAGGTTTATGCCATAAACATGGCCAAAAACGGTTGTTAGGTTTTTGTAGATTAGAGTTTTATAAAACGAGTTTAAAACCTTTGAACATGCATAAACTTGTAATTTAAACAATCAATCAACAAGTTATCAATCAATCATCAGAGTATCAAACACTTTCAATCAATTAGAGATCGATTTTTTTTTTTTTTTTTATAGGGTTTTGAAGTGTTTAAACAACAGGTTCTATGGCTCTCAGTTTTAGAAGATACCTTTTCCACCTTTGGATTTCTGACAGGCTAATGAAACTGGGAGCTAATAAACCTCAGTTAGCCGCTACAAATTCCAAGGATTGATCACCAAAACTGGAGAAGCTGCTGGTTGAAGAAGGAAAAACTCGGATCTGGTTTTTTTTTTTCGGTTGATCGTCGTGTACTGTAAGTGTGCGTGAGGGCGCGTCCGACGTTGGATCGACAAACGGTTTTCACCAGTAGATTCGTCTCGTCGAGGGCTTCGATTTGATATGTAGATCGTCTTATGGTTCCTCACGGTTTGGAAGATATGCGTCTTTTAAGTTTCGACTTGCTTTTAGGGTTTTGGTGGTGGCCGGATTTATTAGGGTTTTTCGCTCAGAGAGTCTTATCGTGCTGATAACGTGTTGTAAAAACTTAGAAACTTTATTAATCACTGGAATGTATATATAGAGTACATAGAGAATCTAGGTTAAGTACAATGCCCTGATGGGCCTAATGGGCCGGTATAAGAGTCCATATATGATATGTGTTATAACACTTTTAATTATCTTAGATTATTCAGCTTTTAGGTTTTAAATTGTATACGAGCAAAAGATAAGGAAACAATTGATAGAAAAACATGTAATGTTTCTGCTACTACTTTCAAACAGATTTTAGCTTCTCTCATTTTCATCGCCTATCATTACTGTCTCCGCCGCTTCCACCGCCATACTGTGTGGAGTTTCCGTTCCAAAAGGCATTTCCATCACCAAACGGAGCGTCTTCTTCATCGTGTTTCAGCGTATGAATGTTACTTCCAGTCCTAGATGTGGTTGGTCTCCTGTTCCTAACGTTGCCCCTACCTTCTGATGGATCATGAAACGTGGAGCCCATTTGCGCTGGATTGTTCCTCAGCTCCGTATTCGACGCAACTGGTACTAGAGACGGACGAAAAAACAAAAAAGGTGAATCAGTTAAGCAATTACATGACTCTGTCAATAAGAAAGGATTTTATGAGCTGCTCACCGTACTCCCCCATACTCCTTCGAGGTTCTGGACCAGAGTTTGATGCATTTGCATTACCGCCGCCAAAATATGAAAATGGGTTTGCATAAGACATCAGTCTTCTAACATAAGCAAAGTAACCACCATTGTTAAGGTTTTCAGGGTCTGTGTTGTTGTTAGACTCCGAGTAAGATGGCCCTCTTTGATAAACGGTTGCTCTTCTACGCGGAACCACTACAAGTGCTTGTCTACCGAACAAACCCAACTCGGATAGAGACTTCTCAAGATCTGCAGAGATCGAGAGTAATGGAGTTACATATAAAGCAGAACATGATATTCGATTAGGACGACGGTATGTTCAAGCTTAAATGTTCTTTAAAAAACGTTTACATATACTGAATTCATTGGAGAATTAACGTACCTTGGTCACTATACACCTTACGGGGATAAGGGATCGCAAGATCATAAGCACCAAGTCCGATTGTTTGGTTACTGTTCACATAGTCCTTGACCATCCTCAATATACTTGTCACAGAAAACTTCTCCTGAAGGCTACTACCATCAGGCAGCCGAATGTTTAAATGAACATCAGATGATTTTTTGTAACTTTCTCCGTCATCTTCCTCTCCTCCTTCATCCTTTGGCTTTATGGCCTCTTTTGTACCAACAGATTTTGCTAAATTAGTGTCCCTTCCAATAACACCTGAACCACTTTCCTGTTTCCTTTTTCTATCGGTAGAAGATCGAACGCTGGATGTATTATCATTTGGTCTTGAAGCTGCAGGACGAATTGGTTCCTTTTCTGCCTGAACATGTGAAGAAGTCTCTCCACGTTCAACAGTGCCCTTAGTGTCTTCAACAGAAGATGCTGGCTGATTACCGTCATTATCACACGAAATAGTGGGTTCAGCAGATTTGTTTCCCTGTTTTAGAAGAAGATTGAACCATGTAAGCACAACATCAAAGTAAAGTACTGCGAAAATGATTTCAGCTCCAGGGACAACCTTAACTACAGCTGTGCCATCATTGTTTTCTTTTGTTGATGCGGATGTCTCCGTTGACTTTCTCTCTGAGGGTTGAACACTAGAGGCCGCTGATGGAGATGCAACCGCTGCATCTAAAGAACCGCCTTCAGAAGGCAAGACAACATTAGAAGCACTAGAATCAGGTTGCTCTGAGTTCTGTGATGCAAGTGCTGCTGAAAGGATACTTGCAGTTGTTTCCTGAAAATGAGAAATGCCTAAGGCATTAGTAAGCAAACAAAATAAAACCCATAAAACGAAAATGTAATACAAGGATAAACAACATCATAAGTAAGTGTGAGAGAGAGAAGCAGCTACCACGTACCTGGATATGAAGTCCCACCCACGCCTTTTCTAAACTGGATGCGAGGTCTTCAGCAGCAATAAATCCTTCTGCAAAAATAAAAGGGAAAAAAATCAATCTTGAGCATGTTCGCTTGGCTATAATGAATTTCTCAGTCAGAAAATACATATGGTCTTACCATTTTTCCAAACTTGTGTACCACTGAATCCAATGGCAGCTATACAAGGAACAGATGAATATGGGTCTAGAAACTGATGTAAGGATCTTTCTTGTTCCCAAATTGTTGCCTCAAGAAAATCAACAGAAAAAACTTGCATTACACACGCACGCAGCTGTATAGTCCTAGAGATAACACAGGAAATGAGCCAAGGTGATTTCACCAAAAGATTTCAAATTGACTAAGGTCCACTCTTCTTAAACTAATTTGAACTCTACCACAGAGGTACATAATCCTACAAAACATTACTTCTTCCGGCTGGTAGGATATGTTCATATTGCAAACCTACTAACCAGATTCTATAGAACGCCTGCTAAAACGCCGCATTTACTATACAATCCAGAGGAACAGCTCTTTATAACTAGATGAGAATTCTTAACTTCTCTCATAAAAAAGAAAGGATACATATTGCAGAGAAGTTTGTGGCATCAACACTTGCAGCTTGGATATGCAATAAAATGCAATACTTGGACAGCGACTCTGCCACCTGTAACAGGTAACAACATCAGACAAATGTTATGAATGAACAATGAACTTGGATTGCAATTTCGATGTAACTAACTGAGAATGCAAAGTATATAACAAGAGAAACCTACCGATGCCTCAGCCCATGTCAATTTGTTCAACTTATCTGACTCCTCATCATCTCCTAAAAGTTGGAAGCAAATCCATTTCAGTATTAGCCGATCAAGTTTCGAGATCGAAATCACAGTATGATATGACCCACTCATGATCGGATTTCAACAAGAATTACCGAAAAAGAAAAAAAGGAAAATCCAAAATTTACCAGAGATGTAGACAACGAAAAGCTTCTTCTGCCCTTTGGCCTCAAATATGGCTTCTGGAATAGAACCCTTGAATGTAAGAGATGACAGAGCTTCCATCTATCAATCTAAGAATCCAAATAAGCACACTCAATCAGAGACATTGAATCGTAAATTCAGTGAAATAAACAACGAATTCCAAAAACCCTACCTAGATATGATCAACCCAGAAACCGAAGAAGATACACAAATCACCTGCTCGAATGAAATCCGAACTACCCCCACTGTAAGCAAGAGAAAATTCGCAACACAACGACGAATAAAAGAAGAGCAGAGGAGAAAACGAAGCTACGAGTCTAACGTGAGATTAGACGCCGTTAGGACTCTCCAGTCGGCAAGTCTTCCCTCCACACAACAAACGACCAAACGGCGCCGTCACGATATCGTCGTTAAGTGTTTACTATTGCTAAATTTAACTGAGGTCCTTATTTTCTTCAATACATCCTAATATTCCTCTTAGTATTTATATTGTCTAATTTGAACCCAAACCAACGAATCTCTTAAAAACTTCCTTTTTTCTTTGGATCAACACCCTCAAGAGTTTCCAAAACTTAATAGTGTAATAAATTAATAATACCATAATAGTATTTTATTTAACTGAATTATCTACAATTAGTATTGTTCCATGATCATAAATCGTCCCATTCCATCTCATTTGATTGGTTATAGCCTTCACTTTGATAAGAACATCAAAACGGTCTTTTATTATAACCGCCCCCTCTGGTCTAAGAATCCTCTGCATCTCCAAGAGTATATCAACAATGTCACATCTATCATCATAAGAACAAAAAAAAAGAAACATACCATTACACATTATTTTACAAAATGTGAATCAAAGTTTCAAGTTAAAGAAAGAGATCTTACTTGTCCAAATACAAGCTAAATGCACCATTGGCATGAATCAGATCATAGGTTCTAGGATATGTAGAGAAAGCTTCACACCTGTAATAACCGAACAAGGAGGTAATAAGAGAGGTCAAATTAGATGATATGAGTAACATTTTGAGTGACTTACCAGTTCATGTAAGTTCCAATGAGGCCACGATCGAACACAACACCGAGTGTGTTTGGTTTGAGATCAAACGGAACCACATTCATAACCCACATTGGATATTTGATCAATGCTGCAGCGAAACTACCTAAACCAGCATTCATATCCATAACGTTTCTGTATTTTCCATTTCTCAGAAACTTCAACTTAGTGTCATAGTAGACAACTGTTCTCTGCCACAGGATAGTGTCAGCTTTGAAGCTGGAAACGTTCACTCCGTGTATTGATCCGGTTTTGATTCGCTGAGGCGCGTTATTTAGTCTCTCAGGCCAGTTTCTGAGAACGGTTTTGTTGTGTGTGTCATTGACATCTAGAAGTGGAGTGATGCAGGGCGCCATCTCTCTGTACCTATTGTTCAAAAAAAGATGTTCCCAAATCATGCTTAAGCTACTGAAGATGCAGAGGAAATTTAGATTTTTGGGGAAAGTAAAGTCACCACGCAGCGTCAGGATCACTAGAAGAGCAGAATCCAGGAAAAGTAAGAGCTTCTTTTAGTCTTTGTCTACACTGCAAATGATTAGAAGGTTTTCTCCATATGACAACTGGGTATCTTTCAGCAATCTTTTCCCAACAAAGTCTTATGAAAACATCATTTAGTTTCTCCATCTGCTTCTGCAAATCCTTGATGACGCTCTTCTGGTTCTTGGATTTAACCATTGATGTTACAGGTGGTCCAGAAAACACCCAGTATCCATCAGGACGTAGAACACGATCCACCTCCATTAAGTAAAGCCCATCTGGATCAAATGTTATTTCTCTTTCAGTATCAGAAGCAGAGGAAATCCAAAACACAGTGAACATAACTAGATACACAGATTACCATAGGCAGTCCAATTGACAAGGCATCTAGAACAGTGGACCATGTCGAAAGATCTCGATGGGTAAGGCAGCTTATAAGTGCTCAGGACACCGAGCATAGCAGGGAGTCCACGTTCTAAGGCAAACTGAACTTGAGCCTCGTGTATATCTCTCGGTGCAACGGACATTGTTAAGATGTTATAGTTCAACAGAAAGGCTCCAAAGCTCGCTACCTGACATTTCGAGTTCAAGCAAAATCAATCGCAAGCACTAATACTGCAGTCGAATATCATCAAGATTAATCAATTTCTGTTGTCTACTCATCATGTAACGGAACTCACTCCACATCCAACATCAAGAACAGTCCTGATACTCCCAGAAGTCAATGGCAAAACATCAAGAATCACATCAACGTAGTCCTTCACGCCACTGGGAAAAGAAGTTCCGCCTCCCGGGAAAGCAAAGCGCTCTCCTTCAAGCCTAATCCAGTTCTGAGTCTTTTTAAACTCAGCCAGCTTCTTGAACGGAACGTTCTTGAACCAAGCATAGCTTCTACTAATAGGCCAAGGAAAAGGCGTTTTGTAGCCAGAGGGCTTTGGGACCAAACACCTGAGCTTCTCGTGGGCTGAGTCAGGACAGTGCCTCTCTCTCCGATAGTGTCTCTCAATGCTGTACTTCCTTGCCGTTGAAGGATCGTGGCAGGGCAAGTAATTGGTGAAGTTCTTGGGACAGAGTGGAAAGTATGTTGATGATTGGTTTTCTGAAGATTCTGGAAGAGAGGAGTAATGGGACATGGAAGGTTCTTGAAGCTGTGGAGGATGGTGAGGATATTGGGAAGAGGAGATGGTGATGGTTTTGATAGTAGTGAGGATGTAATAGATTGAGAAGAATAAGACTGGAGTGAAGAAGAAGATTAGATGCTTAGGACAGGGCTTTGGTACGTTTTGTTGTGATGGATTCATCCTTTTCTTTTCTTTTTTTGTCTAGACTTCTTCTGCAATTAGGTTTCAAGATTAGAGAAGACAAATTTGTGAAGTACTATTTCTTAAGTTAACAAGTCAAAGACTCACCTCGTTTTCTGAAATGGAATCTTCTTCAACTGTGCTTTGACTCTAGTTGCGGTCATCCAGATGGGATTATTCTTTCTTTTTTTTTAAACTCACTTTCTTATATTATAGATTTATAATAAACATTAGAATATAAAAAACATTATCTTTACAGTGGAGAATTATTCATAGTTTCATACAAACATTAAGAGAAATATATTAGAGTGACAGGACTTAGGTACACAAGGAAGGCTTTAAAGCAAAATTTCGGGAGACTAGGATGCTTCAGTGGTCATAAAAAAGAAAATAAGACAAGAGCTTCATTTTAGCATCAACGTTGAAGAACATTGTCTCTTGAAGTAAACTTGTCTCCATGTAATGTGATTTTCCAGCAGTCGAGTTGGATGATGAATACAGAGAGCTTCTTGGGAACAACTGAAGCAGATTGATTACAATAACTAAGTCAAGCCTTGAGAAGCTTGGGAAGATAAATATTTTGACATTTATCGTAGACAAATCGGTGTAAAGCTTCAAGGTACCTCGAAATTTATCGTCTCTTGTGATTATTCCAAATGTTTCGGATGTCTCGCGCACCATAATCCCTTGTAAGCCAGTGAATGATGCAATCTTGCTCTCAGCAACTGTCACAAATAAAACAGGTTGCTCTGATTAGAAAGAACAAATTACACAACATGAAAAAAGATCTTCCGTGGACAGATCAAGGAATAGTATCAAAGTGTGATCAAGCGTGCAGAGAAATTGATTTTTGAAAGAGAGAGCCAAAAAGATCAATCCTAACACTAGAACATAGGATTACCAAACATGAAAGCACCGTGAAGATCTGCTGAGAGAAGAGTTTGAGCTAACTGAATTTTCCTGCAAAATGAGAGTATATTGTCTAAGAATGGTGACCAAGCTTAAAATGATTGTGAATGCTACGTTACACCCCTCAATTTCGTCCTTGTAAGAGCACAAAGTTTGAATTAGTATTCCTGTAATCAGATAAGTAGCTGCAGCTTACCCAGTCACCTTTATGAGTTGCATCATGTAAGTTTCCCACATACCATGCATTGGCTTAAACAAATCAAACCTGCACTCCAAATAAAAGAAAACATTCAAAGTCTATTATAACTAAAACAACAAATTAAGATACACAGGCTGAGCCAGTTCAATCTCTATGACAGCAAAAAAAAAAAGAACTCACTTTTGGAGATTTTCAGGAAAATCCAAAGCACCAGATTTCTTGAGTCGCTTCATAGACATACGCCTTTTAGAACGTTTTGAATTCTGCTGTGTCGCCTTTTTAGAACCAGAGGCTGAAGAACGTAACTGTACAAAATTATCAAGGAGGATGTAGATGTCATTATCCTTGTCCAGCGTCTTCCTTTTAGTACCTTGTAAGTACTTCTGAGCAGAGTCACCGCTTCGAAGGAGATTATGCAAAACCCTGTTTGCTATAGTTCCCTTTGCACTAGAAAACTAAATCACAAAAAAACACACACACACATATTGAGCAACCTTATCTCAAATCAGACAGAAGAAAAATAACTACAAGACAGTGGTTTTCTCTAGTCAACAACTTGAACTTACCTTAACATCGGTTGCCAGCAAACTCTCATCAACGGGATGGGACAATTTTCTATATGCAGCAAAATTATCATCCTCCGGATCTACAACACCAAATTTTCATCACAATCACAGTTCGATAGAAAAAGTTCATAATGCGAACCAGTCGTGGCTTTAACTCAACCATCAAAAAAACCTTTTTTAGTTGATGACTTTGAACGATTAGGCAGTGAAACAGCTTTATGTGGTTCTTTCGACGAGACAGCCACATCACAAGCTTCCTTCCTGTCTCTCTCATTCTTTAGCATCTTCTCAATCGCAGCCCTTGCTAAACTCTGATCATTAACAGCCGTCTCTGGAGCCATTGCATCCGGATGGAATCTAACCTAGTCTCTGTAGCTGATTACAGAATCAGCAATAATCAAGAAAAGAAAAGAAAACAGATTAGAGTTTTTTTTTCACTCTTTAAGGTTTTCAGCAAATGAGTGACGGAAAGCACAAATCTTCATGCAAAGTCCATCACTTTGTATCTATCTATTTGGAACTTTAGCTAAGCTATATGATCAACAGAATTAGGAACTTAGGATATTGAAACTACGAATTAAGAAAGCTCAGTTTTTTGGATTGTCATTACTAAGTCAATCAGCCTATTACTCAATACAGTCAGGCCTAAAATCGAAAATTTAGAAACACTATTTAGGGAACAACCGCTTACTGATCGATCAGATGGTCGAAGCAACTAAGACCGACGATGCACAGGCACGGCGAGCTATTGACGTGAGTTGAAATCGGCCGAGAGAGAAGAAAAAGTTTGTTCTTTTTTTTTTGTTTTGTCTGAAGTCGGCCGCTTTACAAAGGAGATGATCACGTGAACCCTAAGAACTCACGTGACATTCTTTAACTGTCTCTAAAAAAAAAAGTCTTTTTGACGCGCGAATCGCAAACCCAATCAAATTAGAAAATAGTTATCTATTTAATCTGGTTCGGTCTGGTTTTTCCACCTGAAAGCTGGAACTGGCTGGTTTGTCCAAATTCTTCTCTTTCTTTTCGACCAATTTTTGTTTTCTTCCTTCGATGGCTGCACTAAGCTTTTGCAGCTCGTCTCCTCCTCGAATTCTTCTTCAAAAACAACCTAAACCGAGCCTTTTCCCTCCGGATTTCACCATTTACTTCGGACAATTATATGCGAAACCCATCTCTCTATCCAGACGATTCCGTGGCGCCTTTATCGTCACCGCAGCAGTTTCCGATTCCTCCGGAAACGAGAAGCCATCTTCGCCGGCGAAGAAGCTAAGAGAGATTTTACAATCGCCTGGTGTTCTTCAGGGTCCCTGTTGCTTCGATGCTCTTAGTGCCAAACTCGTCGAGCGAGCTGGCTTTCCTTACTGTCTCACCTCTGGTAATAATGAATATATCGGATATAGATGATTGTTGATGAATCTGCTGAACTAATTTCAGATTAAACGATCTGTCTCTGATTGCTGCGAAATTGATCTTCTACCGTTGTGGATTGTGTGTTCTGCTTAAAGTTCAAGACTTTACAGTTTTTAGCTCAATTCTAAAAAAAAAAAGTTTGCTTTTCGATCTTTCCGGCTCCTTTTTGCTGATATCTGTCTATGCAAATAGGGTTCTCGATTTCAGCAGCTCGTATTGGTTTACCGGATAAAGGACTCATTTCTTATGGAGAAATGGTCGATCAAGGTCAACAAATCACTCAATCTGTATCAATTCCAGTGATTGGAGACGGTGGCAATGGGTTCGGTAATGCGATGAATGTTAAGAGAACCGTCAAGGGATATATCAAAGCTGGTTTTGCGGGAATTATCATCAATGATCAGGTTTATTATAGAGACGATATTACGCGTGAGAAAAGAGTGGTTTCTAGAGAGGAAGCAGTGATGCGTATTAAAGCTGCGGTAGATGCACGTAGAGAGTGTGATTCAGACATTATCATTTTAGCTCAAACTGATTCCCGAGAAGCGGTTTCTCTGGATGAATCGCTCATTAGGGCTAGAGCCTTTACAGATGCTGGAGCTGATGTTCTCTCCATTGATTCTCTTGCTTCTAGAGAAGAGATGAAATCATTCTGCAATGTCTATCCACTAGTTCCTAAATTGGTAACTTCACCTTGCGCCATATGTTGCTCTTACTTATCTAATCTTGATACTACTGGGAGAGATATGAAGTTGCATTTGTGTGATCTTTCTGTAGGCTAATATGCTTGAAAGTGGTGGGAAAATTCCGATACTAAACCCACTTGAGCTAGAAGAGATTGGATATAAGCTAGTTGCATATCCAATTTCCTTGATTGGTGTATCGATTCAAGCAATGCAGGTAACAATCTTTATGCTAATAATGTGTAACCTCACTGCTCTGGCCAAGAGACTTAAACTATGTGGAACACTTGCAGGATGCTCTATTGGCGATTAAGGGAGGTCGAATTCCTCCACCAGGAAGCATGCCGTCTTTAGAAGAAATCGAAGAAATTCTTGGTTCTGACACATACCATGAGGAAGAGAAGCGGTATGCTACCTCCTCATCAGAGAGAGGTGAGAGACATGAAGGGTTTCTGTTGAATCATCTTTGGGAGATATCAATCAGTACTTATATTGGTTTTTTTCTTTCCCTTTTGAAGCAACGAACAGAAGTAGCCTCTATGGTAACCAACGAGTGGCTCAAGATGATCCAGAACAGAGAGAGGACCCAGTTGTTGAAGTCATAACACCTGAGGTTGTTTATAGTGAATCAAGAAACCCATTTTCAAGAATCTGGTCACGATCTCTCAGGATCAAAATCATTGGACGTGATGGGTTTGAGAAGCTCGATGTCAGAATTCCTGTAAGTCTTTTGTAAATCCTTGTTTTTTTTTTCATTTGTCCGAACTGATGCAAAAACTTGTCTAATGGTTGGAGTAGGCCGGATTCTTGGAAGGTGTCACCAACATTGTTCCAGGTATTTCAAAACTCAGTTCATATTCGTTGTTCTGTTTCAGTTTCATTTGGCAGAGTTATTTACAGACACTGAGAGATTTTTGCAGCTTTAGGAGGCGTGAACCTGAAGCAATTGCTGGATGATGCAGCCGATGAAGTCGGAGGGAAACTTCTGTTAGACTTTAAAGACACTGGAGGTGATAGAATCCAAGTCTTTTTGGAATGACACACAATGAAGAAAACGTAAATACACTCAAACAAAAATGTTAAAAGAGAGAATGAAATGATTTATTTGTTCCGTGTATGGAAAATGTTATACAAATATTCAATACGTGAAACCCAAAAAAAATAAAGAAAAAAAAATGTGTATACATCAAATTATATGCATATAACAAAAAGGGCAGACGCGAGGGAGGTTTGCCACTTTCACCGGTACAAATTTCACAACAAGCTCTCAATTTGGTCCTTACTAAGAAAAGGAAAAAAGAATGATACGTGAAAAGAACTGTGAAGAATATGCTGGGATGAATAATGTAACCTGAGTACTTCCGTGAAGCAGCTGGCCAATCTGACTACTATTATGGACTGATATTACATATCCGGAGGTAAAAAAAGAAAAGCACATAGCTGAACGGAGCGAGAGTGTTCCGTTCTTGATTTTACAAGTGGAGTCTAGTGTGGTAATGTTTTGGCTTGATCTTACCGGTATCCACCACCATAGGATTGTTGAGGGTTGTAACCACCTTGACCCATCATCGGATTGTAGTTGTTACCGGGCATGTTTGGACCAGGGACCATCCCGGGGTTTTGTGGTTGCATCGGATAGCCTTGGCCATATCCTCCCATGTTCATGTTCATGTTCATGTTCATGCCGGGTCTCATTCCCATACCCATGGTTTGGTTTTGGTTCATACCACCATATCCACCAACACCCATCCCACCTCCCATGGGCATGCCAGAGCCTACCATTGGATTTGGCGGTGGTCTCATAGCGGTTGCACCAGCGCGTCCTAAGCCAGTGCCTGATCCCATGGCTTTACCCATGTTGATAGTCGATGTTGCTGGTGTGTTTGTCGGTTTCTCTAGGCGTTTCTCTCTCCTGTTGATCGCCTCGAAGTCAACCCCTATGTCTGCCAATGGATTTGTTTTAGCTGCACATATGTAGAAAAGAAGAACAGGTGTTAGAAAAGTTTGCTCCAAACCTGGAAATTTGTTTTCTCACATGTTGTGGCGGAAATCTATCTTACGTCCAGATATGTTAAAGTTAACAAGCCCCCTGCTCAACGTGTCTGCCCAGACTGATGATTTTGGCTCAAACTTTTTCTGAGGCGGAGGAACAACCTCAATCGCTCCTGTTAAAGGTGTGAGATCTGGATGAGATGACGATGACGTTAAGGAGTTTGGTGCAGCCTGTGAAAACATGTCTCCCATGAAATTGTTGTTCCCTTGCAGAGTAACAGGCCCGGATTGAGTTCGTTGTGGACCCTGGGAAGGCGGCATTCCATGACCCTGGTGTGCCATGAACTGACCAGCCGGTCCACTGGGGGTAGAGTAATGAGTCTGTGAGCTCGATGAAGAAGCAGCAACCTGTCCTGGAAGGAAGCTTTCGCTTGTAGGGTGTGAAGTTACTACTCCAGGAGTGTAACTGGCTGAGCCTGGCTGGTGCATGTAGCCTCCATTGTGAAACGGCGTGGCTCCAGTCATATTTTGAGAATGAGGAACCACGTTATATGGTTGTGCAGCTTGCCCAAATGGAGTTTGTCCAGGCATGTTTGGAGCTGTAGATACTGGCTGAGGATGAAAGCCATCATACGTGTTATTTCCACTGGGAGGAAACTGAGATGTTGGTACTGAGGCACCCGATTGTTGAGGGAGTGAAACTGGTGGTCCAGATGGTGGGAGAATGCCAGCAAGAATGTCAATATCACTCTGAGATGTAGCAAACTGTTCTTGGGGAAAACCTGGTGAGTTTGATGGAGGTTGCACACTCTGAGAAGCAGGATCAGGATTGGTTACAGTGGAAAATGAGTCCCCAAAGCCAAAGTTATGAGCGGTATCAGGATGTGACATCTCTGAGCTGAAGGCTGGTGGTGGTGGCTGGAAAGGAGCTCCAAAACTCTGCTGTGGGGTTGAGTCGGTTTCAGTAGAAGTGAAGGCTTTGAAAGGAGAGTCACCAAATGGGTCATCAAATGGCTGCACAATCCAAATAGCAGTCAGAATGTTACAAATTTAAAGGAAGGCATCTCTTAGTAAACCACCAAGATCTTCGTGTACAAACCCAGTGTTCATACCTGAGTTGAAGGCTGAGATGTAGAAAACGATGGCGCTGGACCAGCGTTTGCTTGTCCATTGGTTTCTATAGAGGTGGAATCAGCTGGTACAATGGCCAATGCGTTTGATGAAAATATGTCTGAAAGGGAGCCAAGCAAGTCCACCTCAACACTGTTTGAGGTGGGAGGAGCAGACGTAGAAGCCACTGTTGAAGGAGCAGTGGGAGGGGTAGCTGGAAAAGAAACGAAACACAATGCTCACACTCAGAACATGCAGAAGTTAATGGGATAACAATATAACAAATCGAAATAAGAATACAATCATACACCCTCTCTAATAAGGTGTCCTAAAACATTTCCTAAGTGTTTATTGGATAATTTAACAGTAATTAACTTTTTAATCTTTATGCAGCCAAGGAGTTGAAGGGCAAAGAAAACTAATAAAAATCACTAGATATAACAAACTAAGAACAAAAGAATCGCAAACTTCGAGAACTTTGTACCTGAAAATGCACCACGTGGATCAAATTCATCAAAAGTCTCAACTTTTTGAGGAGATGATTCATTAACAAAACTAACAGCTTTATTCTCTGTGCTGATTCCAGCAGGAGGAGAAGCAGCCACTGGAGCAGCAACTTGCGGGGGGGGAGGAGAAGCAGCTCCTGGAGCAGCAACTTGTGGGGTCTCCCCACCATCCCTGTCATTAAAAAAATTCTTCAGAACCAATGAAATCAAAGTAGATCTCATTTTGCAAAGCAGAATTATCACCTTTCACTATATACAGGGCTGCGTGATTCACTGACAGCTTCTTCATAACTAGGTGGAGCACCAATATTTTGTTCAGAAAACTTCCTCTGGAGCTGCCCTCTATCATATTCACGAAAGAAGATGATATGAGTTAACATGTCCACAAAACTTAATACAATAAAGAAAGAGGCCCAAACTTCACAGCAGAAAGTACAACCGAAATTACCTCCCATCCTGAGAATGGCCATCATCCTCAAACGTCCGTTCCCTATCTGAACTCCTACCCCGTGACCCCTGTTGATAGTTATCAACACTTCTGCTCCTTCCCCTGTAATCATCTTCCCTATTACCATCTCTCCCATAACGTTCTTCAGAGTCTCTGGAATGACGATCTCCATCACGACTATTTCTATCATCATCCCTGTAACCATATTCTCTCTCTCTTCCATAACTACTTCGCTCTTCATCCCGGGATCCGTAATCATATCTGTCCCCATATCCTCCTGAAGGCTTATACATCCCACCTGGTGCTGAGCTGCGATACCTGTTGTAAAGATAATGTCAGGTTGGTATGTTCAGCATATTTTTAATCTGACCCTAAAAATATGTAAATTTTTTATCTCTAAGAATTAAAAACTCTCAAAAGTCAGAAGGTAATAATACTTTTAAATGCCACAATCTACAAATTGATAGACTACTAGGAAGCATAATAACAGTTGTAAGGCCACTAGCAACCAGAAATCAAACATGTGTCCAGCGAGACTAACACAGAGAGGAAACTACAGCAATTCGTAAGAAAAAAAAGATACAATGACAAGCAAACTTACTTATCTCTGTTAGCAGCAGCCTTCTGTCTGACCTCCGCTATTCTTTCCTTGTCATTAACCAACGCCACTAGGCTCTGTGATTTCTTCCTAACATTGCTTCCTTGATCTCTACCACCGGAATCAATATACTGAAAATCGGACAATGTCTGCCACATGGAAAATGGATATGATTTAAGATAGTCAACTGCTGAGATAGAGCACAAAGGGATTCTTTTAATGCTGAATACTTCTAAAATAATATACTCTGTGTGGTCATTACCGAAATTTGATATGCACGTTCTTTAATCTCGTCTATAACACGTTCGGACCCATGGCCTACCATGTACTCCAAAACTGTCAAAGCCTGAAATGGATAGAAGACGTAAACCAACAGGAAACTGTTTTTCAATTCACTGCCACAGCAATGTAAACAGGAATAAGCCAACAAGGCATTCATATTCTTTACCTTATAGACATGCCGCCAGTTCTTTCCAGTGTCGCTAAGGCGTTTCCATATGACCACCATAATCAGCTGGTACTCATGGCTGCAAGAGATGTAACATTTATGTCATTCCTGTGCAATGTAATAATTACAGCATAATAGAGCAGTTGGAAAGTGGTTGTAGTAACTAATTTCTCGAAGCTTGAGCAAGATCAGCAAGAAGTGATCCATGTGGACCCCATGGCTCATTGCTAGTAGCATCTAGAACCTGAAGAGAGGTGAGAAACAACATGAAACTATGTTTGACAAGCCGCTAAAAATTCCATAACCACACTAGCCAGATGACGAAAATTAATGAAAATGATCTAAACTAAAACAGATCTGAACTCAGTTTAAGCAAAATTTCAATCAAAACAAAAACAGAGAAGAAGCTAAGAGGGTCATTTACCTTCTGTTCAATTCCAGGCACTTTGAGCACTTTCTTGTTGACCTCTCTCTTGCTAAAAAAAAATTTAACATAAAACCAAGCATCGTTAATGAAAAGTAAATAAACCACACACCGATTGGCCATGAAAATATCATTCGCTTCCAGGCATTAAAATTCTTACAGGTCTCTGACAGTTTGACCGAAGACTTTCTTCATCTTCGTATGTGTTCCAGGAATAACTGGCTCTTAAGAAAATGTGCCAAGTACCCTCTATGAAGTCTGTCTCAAAACTAGTATGATCACCTTTGCTGTCAACTGTTTCAAACAAGACATATATCACCATGAAAGGATAGAGCAAGAGAGAAAACGAAAAAGAAACAAAGTCCATTCAAAAGGAATACAAATGAAGTTAATGGAAGATGAATCCAATAACAAAACAGTAAGAGCAAAGGCCACAAATCAATCAGCAAAATGATGAGACTATGATCGATTATTACTTCGTTAAGATTCCACCAAAACATAATCAACGAAATGAAAAGCGCCACCTCGCAACATGACCTCCCAATTTAGCACAATCAAACGAATAAAAAGAAGAAGTCAAATCAAAATCCGGGTCCTATGCAGACTCAATTTCAGACGGTACCAATCAGAATCGATCAAATAACAAGATTGACATTCAAAATGCAACTTCCACAGATCTTAGGCCCAAAACTATCACCTCTAAACAAAAAGCTAGACAAAAAAATCAACCGGAGATTCCAAAATGGAAACACAGATCTAATGAAATCCAAAAAAAAACTTAAACTCAATAGACGGAAACAGGAATCTAATCTAAAAACAGCTAGATCGTACCTCCGGAAATGTAAACTCGAGCTGAATCGAATCGCGGATCGCTGAGGCACAGAGAAGAGCGAGAAGAAGAAACACCAATATCAAGGGATTGAGCAAAGATGGAAATCCCTTGAAGCTTGTGATCTCTCTGTATTTTGAGGGTGGAGATGGTCTCCTCCTTCTCCGTATTAGCTTTACCACTTTCGAATCTTAGAGAGAGAGAGAAGAAAACAGCAGCCAGAAGGGAAAATTCAATAGATAAAATTAATAAACAAAATAAAAGTAAATATGAGGATAAAATAATAATAATAAGACAGCGCATCTAACACGCAGAATATTAAGGGCTCCAAATCATTTAAATGTTCATCGTTCCAATTCGTCATTTGAAATCACAGCTGTTTCTTCTTCATTTTCGTCTTATTTATTTGACATGACACACAATTATTACTTTGGTCTGAGCACGATTTATAAGTGAATTTCAAAGTTGAAGAGAGTAATTTTTCCAACAAATACGTTTACATAGTCTAATTTACGATTTGGAAAAAGAAATATCAACTTGATTTTATGTTTTTTGTAAGCATTATGCTTTCACTTTTCTGTCTAATGGAAAGGTATTAAAACATTTTAATTTAAGAACAAAGTTGTTACCTTCATTGAAATTAATCAGAGCTAATTACGATATTCCCATTTTGACGCAAAGATGTTTAATCGATGGGCCTGAAAGCCCATATCATAATCAATAATTTAGTATTCGACAACAGTTGAGCAGTTTTTCATCACGTGTATTTCGTTGTTTAGTCCCGGTTTTCATATGCTTTTCTTCTTTTTTCGGTTAGCAAAGTATACAACAAACTACACAATAAAACTAAATTTAAGTTGGATAAGTTTGATATCAATTCGTTTCAAAGTTTAGATTCATTTTTTATTCAAATGTATTTTAAATTGATTTTTTTCAATGGATTGAAATTTCAATCCAGTGTTTTGTCACAAATAGTATTGCTCAATAGTCAACACCGAAAAAATAGGTAGATATTAGTTGAACGAAAGTGATTCTTGGACTACTACTACATAACACAATAAATTAATAAGCCAATAAGATGGCAAAGTTGTTACTTACTTCCACTTTCCAGCGTTTGAAGCAATGAAGATAATAAGTTGATAACATTCTGTCTGTACGAACAGATATGAAACGACGTTGTGCCCAACTCAAAAGAATGTCTTGTAATAATTTTTGTCTTTCCAAGGTTATGTTTTCAATACAGGAAAATATTTTTAAATCGAACAACCTTAAGAAACAAGAAACTGAACACTTTTTTATTTGCTAACAAATCTCTCATTACATTAAAGAACAAAAAATATAGAAAATGTATGCACAAACAAATAAATTACGAGACCCATTTTTCTCACTTAACAGCAAAAGGAAACAAAGAAGAGTATGAAACGATCTAAAGGGGTCTTGGAAACAATTTGACTTGACGAAGACACGACGATGATTATGCAGAAGTGGAAGATGAGCGACAATGAATAAGAGGAAGTGATGTGGATCATTGTTGGTGATGTAGGACTCCTGGTTTCCACGCGACGATCCTTATTTGGTTCACTTCTTCTCCTCTTTGACATTGACCCTTCCTTTATTCCATTTTTTAAAAGAAAACCTGTGAAGAAAGAAACTGAGATTTTAGGACAAAGTAATATTGAAGTGGGTGATAAAGAGTAACTTGAACGTTTTGGACCGTGGGGACTTACTTGAATAATGGGGAAATTTGGTTGAATTTGATGAGCCTAGTAATGGGTGGGAGGTGGGGGAGAAGCGTAGATGTAGACTGGAGGTGGAGGAGATTTCACCGGTGGTGGTGGAGAGTTGTAATAGTATGGTGGTGGTGGAGATTTCACTGGAGGAGGTGGTGAGTGGTAGTAGTATGGTGGAGGAGGAGATTTGACTGGAGGGGGTGGTGAATGGTAATAGTATGGTGGTGGTGGAGATTTCACCGGAGGAGGAGGTGAGTGATAGTAGTATGGTGGAGGAGGAGATTTCACAGGTGGGGGTGGTGAGTGGTAATAGTATGGTGGTGGTGGAGATTTCACCGGAGGAGGTGGTGAATGATAGTAGTACGGTGGTGGTGGAGACTTGACTGGAGGAGGTGGAGAATGGTAGTAGTACGGTGGTGGAGGAGATTTCACCGGAGGAGGTGGAGAATGATAATAGTAAGGAGGAGGAGATTTCACCGGTGGTGGTGGAGAGTGATAGTAGTATGGTGGTGGAGGAGACTTCACCGGAGGAGGTGGTGAGTGGTAATAGTATGGTGGTGGTGGAGATTTCACCGGTGGAGGTGGTGAGTGGTAGTAATATGGTGGTGGTGGGGATTTCACCGGAGGAGGCGGGGAGTGGTAGTAGTACGGTGGCGGTGGTGATTTGACTGGAGGAGGAGGAGAGTGGTAGTAGTATGGTGGTGGTGGAGGTGG